CCAAAAAAAAAACAATGGACGGACCAATGAATGGCTGGCCCTGCAGGCATTGCTTTCCTTTTCTGAAAGTCCCACACCGAATCCATTCCGGTATTTCATACATTATAGTGTAAATTATCAATTTAACACCTCGACTACGCCATCACTTACCGAGCCCTGATTTTATAATTTTTCCTATAAGCACTATAACAACATACAATATATGTTGTTTTAATGCTAAAAAATTAACCATGTGTGCTATAAAGCACTTGAAACTTAGGTAATTTAAAAATAAGTAAAATAAACGCGATTAAACACGTTTTTTAAGTATGCTGATTGAAATACATCGTCTGAAACATGATACAGATTATATAATTATTTGTTTTGGCACTAAACTGACATATAATATGCGTCACTTTTGTCCATAAATATACAAGTAAAAGGACAAGGACTAGGAAACCTAAATTTATCCTTAGTATACAACACATTCCAGGTTTGAAACTGGAATTTTTCGTTGTTATCAGCGTGGCAACTATGGTACATATCCCCCTACGAGTCGAATTACGGCCAACAATCTATTGGGGATGCCTTTGTTCAATTGTAGACTCTTCATAGACTATTGTAAGATGAATTTACATATCATTGAAAATGCATGTAACGATACATATTTCATTCTTATAATGAGTTCTTATTATAGAATTAGGGTGACAAACGAGCACACAGTCCACCTGATGGTAAGTGGATGCTGTGGCTCATAGACTACATTTAACTTCGATTAAGAATCAAAATTCAGATGTGTTGTCACCCCTGAGGACTAAGATTGAATGCTTCGATTCCAGGAAAACGGGTCTCCGGTTCTCTACACCCACCATACGAAACACAGCAGCATCAAGCTGCTATTTTACGCTGGAATTCTGTGAGAGCGTGGTCCTTTCCCGGTCGAGCCGACCCTTTCATGCTACAACCATAATGTAACTGCGGCGTGGCTCTACCATGTAAATATTTTAGTTAAAGACGTGTTAACGAAATAATCCCTTGAAGGTTTTTCTTATATCTTCGAATAATTAATTCTATTAATTTTAGAGTAGTGTATATCCTAAATAGTAAAGGGTTTACTGCTAACCCAGTGAAACGATTTTTTTATCATTAATGAAACCGTTGAAATTTATCACGAATTAAATAAAGGAAACGTATTTAATCCTTAAGAAAAACAAGCATAGGTCTAGAATTGCGTTCTGTATAAAAGTAAGCCAATTAAGGCGATAACGATAAAGACATTTTATCATACATTCGTCATACAATTGTTAAGGAGACGCTCTACGCTCTCTATTTTACTACTTTCTTTTTTTTTACTTTTTTACGGGCTTATGATAATGATGACTTGAATCTTGTCAAATTAATAATAATAATGTCCTCCAGACCGAATTTCGACCACGGAGGCCTGCCTCAGTGGAGGCTAGTCATCGACGCAGGACAGGATTATAGTGCCCAAGTGTATGCGCAAGCACAGGTGCACTCTCTATTCCCTCACTCTTATAATCCGATGGGACGGTAAACCGACACGACCGGAAGAGAGATCAGGCGCAGGACCAACGTCTTTACGTGCTTTCCGAGGCACCGGAGTGAGACACCGCCAACTTGCTGACTCCGGGCAGCTACTGAAAATTTCTTGACAGAAAAACTCAATATTTGATTTTTTGGCCCGACCCGGGATTCGAACCCAGGACCTCATGATCAGCAGTCGCACTACTGCAACCACTAGAGCACTAGACCAACGAGTCGGTCCTTGTCAAATTATAATGTGTTTTACAACTAATTTATATAAAACACACGTTCACGACAACAACATATATTTATACAAAAATGTTGGGAATGTAACGACTTGTAACACTCGCCTTAAATACAGAACGAAGATTTTGCGATTCACAAATAGCAGTATCATCATCATGATTGTCCAAAAATTAAACCACATTTTTTTCTATAAGAGACCTTCCTAGGTAGGGTAAGTTTCCGAAACTACTGTAAATAGTTTCAATCTTCTCACAGCTTCTCAGAAAAATCTTACCATGCAATAAAATAATTTTATGCAATAAATGAAACTATTGATATCTGTACAGTTATTTATTGTGAAAAATGCGACAAATGTGAAGTATTTTCAAAAAATTCAGTGAAAAATAAATATTATAATATTTACACACATTTATATAGTTATTGTTTTTTTTACAACTTGTATAAATAGTACGAGAAACACGGAAAACTGGAACACAGAACACATTTAAATGTGCCCAGAAAACTTAAAAATAATTATAATTAAAGAATAATATAACATTAATTAAAGCGACATACATATGTTATTCCATAAATAACTTTCACATAAATTACAAAAACATGGTGATTAATATATTTGTACTACATTAATGTGACAACTGATTTAAATAGCGACCAATGCTGGCATACAAAATATTTATTTCGAATTTTATATAAGTAAAATCAATAAGCCCTATAAAACAAAGTATAGTATTTGAGGACTACCTCGACGGTCTAGTGGTCGTAAGAGATTCTCCTGATCAAGATGTGATCCCGGGTTCGAATCCCTTGGTTGGGCCAAAACCAGTAATAGGGTTTCCATGGCATGAGATTTACAGTAGCAGTTCAAAATCTGAAAGTTGGCGAACCGTTCGTCCTGCTGATCTCTCTCGATCGTATCGGATTGCCGTTCCATCAGACTATGAGAATTCACCTGTATCCGGCATAGAGGAATAGAGAGTGCACCTGTTGCGCACACACTCGAGCACTGTAATCCTGTCCTGTGCACAAAACTATTGTGACTGGCCGCTGCGACCTGAAGTCGAAGGTAATAATGAAAAAATAAAATCGCGATGAAATTATTAGTAATGACTTTTAATAAATAAAAATCTACAATATAAGTTATATCAGATGCTTTTGATCATATAAAAATATTATAACATTCGTATAAACTGCTCACACGTATGTTTATCCAAATATTAAAAATTATTAATAATTTTATACTAAGTTGAAACATCAAATATTTTTCAGTAATTAATTAAGCTAGCTTTATAGTCTTACTTCTAAATTTACATTTATCATTTTAATGTTTGTACATTTCGTAAATATTATTTCAGCAAAGAGAGCACACGTTAATTTTTATATATTATAAAAGGGGCCACTGTACCTTAGATGCTCGTGTGAATGGCGTCACTATCAAATAGCAGACGGTGAAACACTTCCTAATTCAATTCCTTTATTCTTTATTAGTTCTTAGAATATTAACCTTTAAGCTTTCGTAATAGAAAAGTACGTAGTATTTTGTTAAGTTGTGGCCAGGAACAAGAAAGGAATGCTTCTGAAGTTTGGTCATGTAGAAAGAACGAACGAGGAAAGAGTACCAAATTAAATTTATGGTTGCAGAAGTGCCAAAGTCGGCAAGGTGCGGAAGTTGATCGAACAATTTTATAAATGTTGAATATGAGCCAAACCAACGAGCAAAATGCATAAGTATAATATGTAATTAAACGTGCCGATGAAGGTGTGTCAGGAAGGTGCCAAATGTTAGTCCGTAGTCTCAGTCTATTCCCTTAGGTGTCAGGTGTGAGTGCTTATGTATTTATATGTATTCTATGTATTTTGTTACTTTCATAAAAAAACAATACCATGAAATTTAGCGTAGTTTAGAAAAACTAACTGGTTTTCGTTAAATAATGTCAAACGTTTAATAATTTTATCGACTATATTTTATGAAAAGTAGGTCTTTTATAATTCGGTAATTCTTCTGCAGAAGTCACGTTACGAAATAATTAACTCAGAAGTAATGAAGACAATAATAAAAACATGTGATAATTATTTTAAAAAAGTGTGGAGTTGATTGTTAATTCCAAGAAGAAATCCAAATAATTTATTATCAGTATATTGTATTTTTTATCGAAATCAAATTCCGTCATATATACCTAAGTCCTTCTATGTCATTAATATCGAATAGTTAGTGAATCATTTTTAGGTATTGATTTTTAGTAAATATTTTTATAGAACATATTCTCGTTCATTTTATTGTTTATTTTATATTTTTTTACCAAAAAATAAGATACAGTACTCTTTTTTATTTGATACTAGAAATACATCAGATACCGAAACCTATACAAATATATCTGTGATATTTAGGCGATATTTATTTAACGATACTCTGTTGAGGTTCAAATTTCGCGCTTCAAAATGCTATGTGAACGGGCGGTCGTTTACTACTGTATAATTTTCAAACGAATTCTGTCATATCCGAGAAACTAGATTATCTACAAGACTGTAATATCCCATTAAAACTTAAGAATATAGTTTTTTACACCATATTTTTAAATCAACGAAATATCAAGTTCAAGTTACAGTCTATAAACGTCGAGCTTTCACAAGCCTCCTCTCATTTCTGAGAGGGTTTTAAGGGGCAAGGAAATCTCCGCCGCGCTGCCCCCTTGCGTGTTAGCGAATTTCAGATGTTTTCGAAATATTGTTTTCTTATTTCTCAGCATAACCTGCATAAGGTTTCCTCACGATGTTTTCCTTCACCGCTGAACACGTGGTAAATAAGCACTTAAAATTGCGATTAACAATTTTATTCGTGCCGACGGGTATCGAACCCGGGTTGCTCGCGTACTGTGAAATTTATAGCGAGAGCTTAGCCCCTGAGCTACCACGGCTGAAGAAATATCATGTAACCCAAATTAATGTGTTATTACTTTTACTTTTAATTTATGAAAAATATTTATTATTATTATCTACTCGTAGGTATCATAATATCATTAATCTCGATATATATCATATTATTCATCTCTCTCGGTATCGATATCGTCGATATTTTTATAAGTATCAGTATCATATCCGCAGAGGCGCGTCGATGCATCCTTATTTGATAGTTACTAATTTAATTTTCGCCTTATAGTCTATGACTAATGATTGGTACACGTTTGAAGCGTCGAACAATTTGGAAATTTGCAGTCAAGATAATGACATGTTCATCATGCGTCATCAACAGCTGGAGCTGATTTATCGGCCTCCAGCAACCAGTCAACGATAGTCTGATAGTTTCTCTGCATCCATTGAACATTTGCTGCAGTCCTCTCCAGTACTTGTTGAACGGGCCTCCCCAACTCACTACACGATTCGTTTACAAATCTTTGCAACTGAAAATTTAAAAAAAAAAACATAGTTAATTAAAATTGATACCTATACCAATATGATGTTTTTATTTTTATTTTCTTGACTTACCTCTTCATATTCGTGCACTTGATTTAACCTTCGCGTCACTACTTTTAGAATCGAGTTAAGTGTTGACACAGATCCAACGCTGCAAATAATAAATTATTTATAAATTATATTATTAATATATATTTATAATTTATAATAAATATTTTTAAGAGGTAGAGTCATGCTGCAGTTATATTATGGTTGTAGCACGAACGGGTCGGCCCGACCGGGGAAGGACCACGCTCTCACAGAATACCAGCGTAAAATAGCAGCTTAATGCTGCTGGGTTTCGTATGGTGAGTGTAGAGAACCGGAGACCCTTTTTACTGGAAACGAGGCATTCCATCTTAGTCCTCGCGGGTGACAACGCATCTGCATTTTGATTCGTGATCGAGGATTGATGTAGATGTCAATGGGCCGCCGCAACTACTTACCATCAGGTGGACTGTGTGCTCGTTTGTCACCTTTATCCTATAAAAAAATTAACAATCGTTTATTAAAATTTTCTCATTACGACTAAGGCGGTTATACTCATTTTCTCCTTTTTACCTACTTCTGCGGAAAAAGAGGAGTGCGTGCGCGTGCGTGTGAACGATATAAAGAGCCAGTATAATTAGTCTGTTAGGTTTTCAATTTTAGTCCACAGGGGTGACAGTGCATATGTAGCCTTCTTTGTATATTCAGCTGCAGGTGTCCACGGACTGGAGTGGCCACACGATACCATCACCTGGACTATAATTTCGTTTGTCACGTATACAGCTACTAATCTTACTGCAGCCCGACACAAGGCCACAGGTACCACAAAGCACGGCCTTGAGCCACCTGCACCCATCGACAGCCTGCGTGTATCATCAAGTCGTCACTCCATCGGATGGGGGACGCCAAACACTGCACTTTCCAGTATAAGGCTACCTCTCGAGAATCTCTTACCCATCGGCTGTCGAATCTTCGAGCTATAGAGCCCCTCATTGTCACTCCAGATTACTCATCTGTTTCGCTATGTCGCTTAATGATATAAAAATAAAATATAGTGCGTGAGGGTAATATGGTCATCCGGTTAATATGGTCATTTTCTTATAACTCAAAATTTACAACCTTGTTTGCATAGATGACTTTGTGATACGATAGCTCGTCATCGGTCAATCAAATAATAAAGGATCGCAAGGGCGCTGCTTTATCGACTCCGTTTTGACAGTACACATTAGAGTAAATATTTTAGTCGATTTTAGTATGGTGTAGTGTAGTTACTTTTTTTATGTAGATTCTTCTAAGTCTTCCTAATTAATGCCAAAGCTTGCTTGCTTTTTTTTTCTTAATATATTAGTTACAGTATACGACTTTGTGTTTTTGTATCTGTTCTTCTCCTAGTTTTGTTTTATAGGGCGGCAAAGCTTAAGATGACCATACTACCTTTATGTACCTTTTATAAAAACTCCTTTCCTCCATTAAGAACATCAATCTGAACTATATATATTATCAACAAATATATTTTGCCATATGGTGGTATCGTAAGAGAATCTATTACCATATTTTCGCCCCATAGGTGTCGTATGAGATGATACTAAATGTATCTTATAGTTTCCAATAGATGGCGCTATAAAAAAACACTGAACATGCAAAGCACAATCGAAGATGCTTACGTCTGGCAACGGATACTCCGTGTCTCATGTCTAGCAGTAGATTTTGAGCCATTTATTGTTTATTGATGGAATAATACTCTATTATTATCACCTTAAATATAAGTGGTAAAAAGGAAGGATCTAATGCCTTTGGTATGGGCCAGTCAACCCCTCGGCGTGGTAAAATATAATGGTGAGCGCAAAAAGTATAAAAAACACAAGCAATAAAATTAAGAATACGGCAATAATCACAGACTAATAAATATTAGTGGGAAACCTTTTGTGTTAATGGACAGGGGAAAGAAGAAGAGGGGGAAGAAGTATATACAACTAGAGCCCTCTGTCGATGACATACAGAAACAAAACCTTTTGATATTGAAACTTAACTAAATAATAGTTGTTTGCGATAATTTACTTACTAATCTTTAAGTCGTTGCCAGTTAGCTCGTACAAAGTTAAAAGCTATAGGTTCACCGATAGCGGAACTTGCTACCGCTGAAAACACCCTGACGGTATCTTGTTTTCGTATTCCACTGTCGTTGCGTAATGATAATTCCAAGTATCTGCAAATGGAAAAACAAGTCCTTGAATTAATGCCTTCTCCGCAGCATGCATACTTGTTCAGCATGAAGTAAGCGTTCGTTATTCGGTGAAAAAAAGTTTTTTTTTAAATTTAGAATAAAGGTAACAAACGAGCACACAGTTCACTACACTTAATATTTCGAAAAAATGTTCTTCCATACACCCAATATTTTTGAAAGACCTGTCCAACACGACGGACTAGACGGGTAAAAAAATCATCCTCCAATTATCTGTATGGTAGGTATCCAAAATAAAAATATTTTAAAGATTTTATTTCACAGTTTTGTAGGCGTGGTTAATATCTATAACTATGCTAAATTACAGATTTGTAGCACCTATGTACTCTGAGTAAAACCACGGACGAATGGACGAACGGACATGGCGAAACTATGAGGGTTCTCTGTTGTGTAACTACGGAACCCTAAAAATGTGTCGCAACCAAGTTTTTGTCATCTATGTGGGGAGAGACAGGTTTTAAATAAGTACTACGTCTATACCCTTCCATGTTTTCATTCTAATTGTAATTGAGTTTATCAGTCACTTATCGTCAGGTGGACGGTAACTTCATAATTGACTTCAATAATAAGCATAATTATATATTTAAATTGATTATTAATACCTATGGATTAAAAATCTGAAATAAATATTTATGATTTTATTTGATTTGAATATCATAAAAACATGTGGTCCAATCGCTTTCTGACTGTGTTTCTAAGTAAAGAGATCGACCGGGTGATCGCGATGATTTGTTGGGCACCCTGTATATAGAGAGCTAGAGACCTTTCTTATTAATAATGAGGCATCCCATTTTGATCTTGAGGAGTGGAAACGAGTTCCTAGATGATTAGACTTCTTTTCTACCTAGGATTCCGTCTAGTAGCTACCACCTCGTAACCAATGTCTGCCGCCAAATAACAGTTCGTGCGTTGCTGTGAGGGTTATAGACAAACAGTATAATTCCAGGCCGCGAAGCGTACCATCTTAGTCCACAGTGGTGACAACGCATCTGTTGGCTTTTCTTTAATTTCGTGTGTCACATCAGTTTAAAAAAAATGCGTGCGCGGAATAAAACTAATTTCACGGATTTTATCGCGTTGAATTTTAACGTTTTTAATTCCCAACTTTACAGCACGCATGGTCCGGGGGGGAGGGGTACTGAATTGTTTAACATTCTGATGTCATAGTTAACTACCGTAAAATTAGTCTCAAAATCACTTTGATTCCATGTGTATTATTCGCGTAATAAAAGAAATCATTAACTAAAATGTGCGCGTTTGTCGTCCTTAGTTCCAGAAAAAGTAGTAACGATTATAGCAAACCTGTACAACAGATGCGGTGATCGAGTGCATCCTAGAACTGAAAGAAGCAGCTCTCGCTCAGAAGGTGCGCTGGCCTCAGTAAAGCGGTCCCATGCAAAGCGCCACTCCCGCGCCCCACCAGTCTGCACTCCCACGCAGTACACTGTACTTCGAATGTCTGCATGGATCCTATGCATAAACACATGTTATAATTATAGATAGATAGATTTATTGCGTACATCAAAACACAACAAAACAACCAAAGAATGAAATACAAATGTTAAAATGTCCGGTCTTATCGAAAAAAGCGTTTTTTTTTTTCAGACAACCTTTAAGTGGATAAGATTGTAAAACGACTAAAACCTACATAAGTATAGGATTCTTAAATTTACATTGATGATTGCACAAATATTAACAAATAAGTAAATTCATAGAGCAACACGGGCTACCGGCGAGGCGGATCGGCGGGGAATAGCCATATGCAGGCGTTCCCTCTGTCAAAGTACAAGTCCACGCGGTCCTGTGCATTCTATAAAACTAGTAGCAGTCATACTGCTCACTGGACAAAATCTAGTTGCGCGGCTGAATCGACGTCCTACAAAAATGCAGAACTATTCAATTTTTTGCCCAAAAAAGATATCTGAAAGGTCAAATTTATAAAAGAGATCGCGTTACTTTTCATATATAAGTAACTTTTACTTCTTTACCTTAAAATTAGAATATAACGGACGTGTTGCTTAGAATTTGTTCACTAACATAAGCCGCTCATCCTCATATAAAATGCGAATCGGTCTAGCCACTGATCCGAGTCTGTATCCGAGTTGTCACTGTTACCGAGTGATAGCTTTATAAATGGCTACCCCCTTGGTACTTGTTACTCTATGGGTAAGATTTATTTAATACATTCACATTTGCCTACGAATAGGTTGAGTAGCCGTTTAGTGGCGTAAGAGAGTTCATCACCCAATTTCGTCTCAGGTGTATCGTAATAGGTGGCTGTGGATAGCGCTAGAAACATCTTAGCGCTTCCGATAGATGGTGGTATAACCATTTAGTTTACACCAGACGTAAAATTCCCCGATTGGCGATGAGCGGCAACGTCAAAGGTTCGAGACGACTGGTACTATGATCGTAAGTTCATGCATGGCGGTTAAGACAAATCTTCCTTTGCGGAAGAGGCCCGTGTCTATTGCCCAAAAAACAATCTCGTTGGATGTCTTGGTTTCTAGGGCAGAGTTATTTTTCGAACTACGAAAATTACTTTCTATGTGGTGGGTGCCGTGGGTGTCGTGAGAGGCGGCAGTGGAAAACAAAACGGAATATTGGCAGCTTCCTGATAACTACTAAAAATAATCAAAACTACGGTTGCCAACCCACCTGCCAAGCTGCAATGAACGAATACAATACAAATAATACTTACATAACAGTTTATTAAATGTGCACTGCTGAACAAACGCCTCCCCAATAAATTGTTTCATGGGCGGAATGATTTAGGTGGCATGCATACTATTAACGTAGACTTCTCCACAGATTGCCACGTAAAGGTAATATTTGTCATAGTTGCCACGCTTGGCATGCGAATAGGCAAACGTAGTTATTAACAGGAAGACGTATTGGCATCCAGCACCTGGTTTGATTCTCTCTATCGCATCCTACTCACGGGATTTATTCCATATATACTATATGTATATACATATTCCATATATACTATATGTATGTACATATTCCATATATACTATATGTATATACATATTCCATACATATTCCAGTGGATATTATTTCACCGCCAATATATGATCGTCATGGGAGTAGTGTATATTTAATAACGGTATAATGTATAATATATAGTACGTAGAAAGATGTAGAAAGGGTTAGGACCGTGATTATTGGATTCCATACGTGAATACCTTTTATCGGCGATGTCGATGTTAAGTTTTGGAATAAGTACATGCATCTAAAAAATATATATATATATATATATATATATATATATATATATATATATATATATATATATATGCATTTCTTGCACTTGGTAGCCACGCTGCAGCTCTATTACGGTTGTAGGACGAATAAGTCGGCTCGACCGGGGAAGGACTACGCTCTCACAGAATACCTGCGTAGAATAGCAGCATACTGCTGTGTTTCGTGTGGTGAATGTAGAGATCTGGAGACCTTTTTTATACTGGAAACAAAGCATTCCATCTTAGTGCTCAGGGGTGACAACACATCTGCGTTTTGATTCTTAATCGAGAATAAATGTAGATAGATGTTATAAGCTACAGCGTTCACTTACTGTCAAGTAGACTGTACTCGTTTGTCATCCTTATTCTAATGAATAATATAAAGAAATGTAACAATACTGTTGACGTTTAAAAGAAAATAATTTAAACAGATGAATTCCTTAGAGCATATCTATGTTCAGTAGTGGACTTGTGATATGCTTTAATTATGATGATAATGATGATATATCTTCTTCTTCCTGCCCTTAACCTAAGTAATTCGGGGTCGGCATAGCACCCTGTTCTATTCTTCTCTATTAACTGTCATCGCTTCACTCACTACTTTCTTAAGCATATTATCCCTAATATATGCCACGGATTCCCTCTACTCTTATATTCAAACACTTTTTTTAGCTTATTCAACGTACAACGTGCATATAACAACATTATTTTTGATGATATTATTTAATGAATTAACAAGTACTAGCATAATGCTAGAATTCGGTCTGCAAGCTCAGAAAGTCGTGAGTTAGAATCCGCCATTCAACTACAATGATGAACGACTTTTAAATTTTTTTTAGTTTACCTAGAGTGGGTAAAGAAGGTGTTAAATAATATAAAATAAAATAAACTATAACTTGTATATACTGGTGACCTTATGTACCGTCTGGGAAAAAATGGTGTCACTTGTGAACGGAGTAGAAGCCTATGGCACTGATATTTTACAAAAATTAAAAACTAAATTTTGAATTAAATTAAATAATTTATTAAAATCTATCGAAATTCAAATCTTTAGTAGGCATCTTTGACCTTGTCACATCGCAGGGTCACAGGCTAGGGTGGATATGATTTGAATTTCGATAGATTATAACCAATTAATTTATTTAATTCAATTTTTTTTTGTTTTTTGTAAAATATCAGTGCCATAGGCTCTCCGTTCACATAATTCCGTCCACATAAAACACCTTATTTTTTCTAAAAGGTCACCAGTATATACATAAAAAATGTATACATAAAATATTGTAAAATGTAATAAATATACTTATTAATATAATTACTATTATAATTAAAAATCAACAAATGAGTATTTGCAGAAGCGTGCGCGTACTCATTGTAGGCGTCAGGGTTGGCGCTGAGCATCCAGTTGGCGTAGAGGCGCACGGCGTGCTCGAGGCAGGCGACGTGGCGCAGGTGGCAGGCGGTGGCCAGCAGGGCGACGCGCTGCTGCGCGCGCACCACGCTCTCCGCGCGCTCGCCAGCCCAGCCCAGCTCGCGCGCCGCGCCCGCCACCAGCCGCAGCACGTGCCGCTGCACAGCCGCCACCACCACCGTTACCACAACATCACACGTACTACAACACTACGCACCTGCTATGTAGCGGAGTACCTCTTTCTTATATCACTGAACCGCAGTGCTTGCACCGGCTTGGCATCATAAGAACAAAAGTACTTTGTTGCGGTTTGTATAGTGACTTTATGCAAAACTATAAAAACTCGCGCCAGTATAATTACAGAATGTGAGGCGATTTTAATCCTCAGAAGTGACACATCTATAGCTTTCTCTGAATCAAGTTATAGCCTAAGTAAGGGTGACAAGCAATCCCACATACCTTAAAAAAACAACTTCTCTGCAGCTATATTTAGATATAGTTGTTTTTTTAATATATAGGAGATGGGGCAAACGAGCATGTGGCATGTGGCACCTGATGGTAAGTGAATCCTGCCGCCCATGAACAACCAAGCTCTTTTCTTGAAAGTCCCTAAGTCGTATCGGTCCGGAGAAATCGCCCGTGGTAAACAATTTCACAGAGAATTGTTTACTACCAGCTTATAGCACGAATTGGTAGGCTCGAACAGGGAAGGACCACGCTCTCACAGAATACCACCTAAAAATAGGTATTACATCTCAGTCAACTTCGACCCATCTGTATTTTGATTCTTAACCGAGGATTGATAAAAATGTCTATAGACCTCAGCATCCACTTGCCATCAGGTGGGTTGTCTGCTCGTTTTTTACTCTTATTAAAAAAATATCAAAATTATTTTAAAGAAAATCCTGACAAATAACAATAATCGTGTTTTGCACTGGCCTTATAACAATTAGATAAGATATGAATACTTGTAAAATTTATTTACCGGATGTCTGCGGCCACGTATTTATTGAATTATTGTTTGTTTTATGACTAATATACAATAATTTAAAACATTTAATCATTGCATTAATTTTATTGTTCAATTAATCTTTTATATTACATTTTTCGTTGGCGGATTTCTTAGTCGGATATGACGTTTCAATACTTCTTAGTACTAGGAAGCGTTAGCAAACCGCATTACGTAATTTTATTCTAAAAATCAACGTTAAAATATTTAGTGTTCAGTTATCATAACATAGAAAATGATATAAATTAAAATTAGATAATCTAGAAACATTCGTATATTTTGTTCTTGTATTTTATCTTTAAATGCCATTTATATAATTACACAATACAGCATTAACCTCTAGTAATAATTTTAACTACACGTAATTAATTATTTATCAAAACAGCATTACTGGCGACATCTAGTGAGACTATCTCGAAGCATTTAACAAAATTATGGCTCAAATACAGTAGAAGAAGCTTTCTATATAAAAAAAAAGATTTTCTTCTCTTGTTTTAATAACGTCTTAACAATTATTTATCTATTCAATCTTTAACGGTATCAGCAGTAGAATAAGAGTAAATGACAAAGATCCATAGATAGAGTTTTGGCCATGGAGTATAGAGGTAAGGAGGACAATCTCCCATAGGACAATAGTTGAAAATGTGTCCTTCTGTAAGCAGTAAATAACAGTTCAAAAACTCTCCACTACAGCGCTCGTAAATTGTGTACAATATAAAACGCCGTAAAATACGTTGAGAGTGATTTTGAAAATAAAAATTTTGGAATCAATAAAACAATTATTGTAAAAAAGATTTATGGTGAAAGTCTGTGCAATAAAAAAAGACGTGTGGCACTCGAGGACTGCCGCGGTAAAGCTATTGCATAATATTTTTGTCAACTTATGCAATTATAATTATTTATTTATATAGTATTTTTTATTTGTTTTTTTCTTTGATATTAATTCAAGTTACAGCAGCTATTCTACACGCATACGTCTAGTCGCACGCACACAAACACCGAGCCGAAGTCTGCCGAACTGAAGCGACGTTACGGCGCCTCTACACGTTGGCCAACACAGTGGCAAATGTAGTGGCCAATAGCATTGGCCAACGTGTAGACGGGGTGTTTGGGCTTCATTGGTATGTATTGGAACGATGGCCCACAAGTTGGCGCGAGATCCATGTGGTGTCGGTTTTTTACAAAAGATCAAAGGATTGTTGGCAGAGTTTGGTCGCCGCGTCCACACGTTGGCCGCGAGTTTAGTTTGCTACAAGCTCCCAGAGTGATTAAACGCATCTGATTAAAATTTTATACTCACGCTTTGTAGGGTGGATGGCCCAATTACCAGCCTTTTAGTGCCAATTTCAACTTTAAACATTCCTACTACTTTAATTAGCACGATTCAATTATTTTTAAACATTTGTTTTAATCGATAAGCTCTTCATATAAAAAAAAATAATGAACATTTATTTACAATCAGATTATTACGAGAACAATTTTAAAATGAAAAAAAAATGAAGCACGTCGTTTATACGTGGTAGAACCATGCAGTTATATTAGAAGTATAGTTGTAGCACGAATGGGTCGGTTCGACCGGGGAAGGACCACGCTCTTACAGAATATCAATGTAAAATAGTAGCTTAATGATTATGTGTTTCGTATAGTGAGTGTAGAAAACCAGAGACACTTTTTAAATGAAACGAGGCATTTCATCTTAGTCCTCACGGATGCCAACGCATCTTCATTTTGATTCGTAATCGAGGATAGATGTAGATGTCTATGGGCCACAGCAACCACTTACCATCAGGTGAACTGTGTGCTCGTTTGTTACCCTATCCTATATAAAAAAGCGTCGATTTCTTATAATTTAATCGTGCAAGTTTTCGAATCATCATCATCATTACAGCTCTTCACAAGTCCACTACTGAACATCTTCCTCCAAAGAAAGCCGCAAAGCATGGTCCTGAGCCACTTTCCTTGTCATGAGTTTTTCATTTATATTTTAAGTTATAATTAGTACCTATTATTAAGTCAGTGTTAATTATATTTATTGCTACTGTTTTCAAAAAAATAATTAAATTACCAATAAATTATAAGGTGTTTTTTATATACATCAAATGTCTGATAGAAAAGCAAGTACATGTTTTGCTAAACTTTAAAAACAAAACCCAATTTTAAAACATAGACTTATCGATTATAACTCCTTTAATTTTAAAATAAGTTTAGTTCTAATTAATGGTATTTATTCCAGTTTCTGATTCATGTAAAGAATAAATAAAGCTAATCGTATATCTATTTACAGCCCATTAATATTCACTATTCTTTTATAATTATTTTATAAAAACGTTACCTACACTTGGATTTTCTCCTGTATCGCGGAGGCAACTTACAAACATAAATTGCATAAGGACACACATCCAGACCCGAAACAATTATTTGTAGGATATACAAATACTTGTTCCGTGCGGGATTCAAACCCGCGACTCCTGGCACAGTCACTCATTGCCAAGCCACTGCGCCACGGAGCCGTCGTCTAAAATAAAATAAATTCGTCCGCACATAAACGACGTTAGACAATGCACGGCCTTCAAGCCACACCTCCGTGCCCGTCGGAGTGGGGAACGTAAGGTTTTTTCGTTACGGCGGAATAAATTTCTGGATTCGGTCCCCACGCTCAAGGCCCGCGATGGAAGCTATGCAATAGCTTAAAAACTGCAGTTGCTAACCTGTCCGCCAAGCCTGGAAACTATGGCAAAATCTCTCCTATTAATCCTCCATCCCAAAAGGGAAGCCTATGTACAGCAGTGGATTGTACTCATAAATGTCTTTCATGCGATAAAATAAACGGTACAGTTACTTGCTCCTTTTTTAAATCGCAAGGTTTATATAGCTAAAGTCCGCTATATTCATTTTATGGTGATGACATAGACTATGCTATCTGCACAATTATTGCAAATCGATTATATAAAAACATCAACAGAATCTAAGGATATTTTGTATTTCATCAAATATCTAAAAATCTATGAAGATTTTCTGATGTAGTTTATTTTAAAGTCTACTACTACTAGGTTATTTTAAAGTCTTAAATAAAAAAAATTGTGTTTTAAATAAAAATGTAATTTTTTTAATCGCCGTAGTAAAATTAGTATGATAAAAAAACTTCATTACGTCTTATAAAACTATTAATTTTAATTAAAAGTGAAAAAAGTCTTATAAAATCTAATAATTAATAATCAGGGTTGCCACCTCTTACATCAAATACACATCGACATCGATTGTTCATACTTAAAATAAAATTTTCAAAATTCTCTCAAACAACATATAACATGTCCTAGGCATGCTCGATAGGATTTAAGTGTAGCGGGCAACTGTGCAGACCATTCCAGAACTTGAATATCGTGGTCTCGGAGAGCGGCTGACACCAGCCACGCCGTATGGCAAGGAGCATCATCGCGCATGAGTGGAAATTCCTGGCCCATTTAGATTTTGTTTGGGATAATAATAGGCTCTACTACCGCCTCGTGGTATTTATGTGCAGTCATGCTGCCTTGGATCCAAACTAGCTGGGTTCGTCCGCCAAGATAAATTTCTGCCTACACCATGATTGTCCCGCCTTGATATGAGTGGACCTCCTGAGGGTGCCGTAGCCAGCTAACTCTCCCTGGAGTTCTCCGAATGCGTGTTCCTCGTGAATCCGGACAAAACCCAAACCAGGACTTATCAGTGAACAGCACTAAAGACCATTCCATGGTAAATGTTCCCGAGCCCACGACAGCCGCCGACCGCGATTGTCACGTCGCAATGCTGTATGTCGTCGATCATGAAGACCAACTTCATACATCCTCCTTCGCACGGTTTGATCGCTTACAAACAGCTGGTGGTCCTCCTGGAGCCTTTGTGGTAGTTGCATCGCTGTGATATTGGGTTGTCTTCTAGCGGTCATTTTGAGTCTCTGTGTGTTACTACACAATATCTGCCCGTGTGCCATTCAGTTACATCCCCGGTAATGTGATAACGTAACCACAACCTTGGAAAATTTAAGAAAATTTACCTATTGCCTTTTTTAGGATATCGTTATGTCAGTCTTCAATCACTATTTAAAAAAATCGTTCTTTATAATTGTTCTTAAGAAAAAACTGAAAAATTTGTAAAAAGGTTGTCAAAGAATAAGGTAAATAATCGCATGTACATGACCAATTTTTTGACTAGCTTTATTAGCTTATGATACCAAATTTAATCAGGTTTAAGCATAGCATTATCTTAATTCACAGATATGTATCTACATATATAGCCACTGAGCCGTGATAGCTCATTGGGTTTTGATATTAGCTGTAAACTTCACAGTACGCGGGTGTAATCAACGCCGGCACCAATGAAATTGGTAATTGCAATTTTAAGTACCGATTTACCACGTGCTCTGCGGTGAAGTAAAACGCCGGGAGAAAACCTGCATGTCAGAGAAATAAAATAAAAAGACGTGTGGCACTCGGGGACTGCCGCGGTAAAGCTATTGCATAATAATTTTGTCAACTTATGCAATTATAATTATTTATTTACATAGTATTTTTTATTATTCCGCTATTCTACACGCATACGTCTAGTCGCACGCACACAAACACCGAGCCGAAGTCTGCCGAACTGAAGCGACGTTACGGCGCCTCTACACGTTGGCCAACACAGTGGTGAATGTAGTGGCCAATAGCATTGGCCAACGTGTAGACGGGGTGTTAGGGCTTCATTGGTATGTATTGGAACGATGGCCCACAAGTTGGCGCGAGATCCATGTGGTGTCGGTATTTTACAAAAGATCAAAGGATTGTTGGCAGAGTTTGGTTGCCGCGTCCACACGTTGGCCGCGAGTTTAGTTTGCTACAAGCTCCCAGAGTGATTAAACGCATCTGATTAAAATTTTATATTCACGCTTTGTAGGGTGGATGGCCCAATTACCAGCCTTTTAGTGCCAATTTCAACTTTAAACATTCCTACTACTTTAATTAGCACGATTCAATTATTTTTAAACATTTGTTTTAATCGATAAGCTATTTATAAAAAAATAATGAACATTTATTTACAATCAGATTATTACGAGAACAATTTTAAAATGAAAAAAAAATGAAGCACGTCGTTTATACGTGGTAGAACCATGCAGTTATATTAGAAGTATAGTTGTAGCACGAATGGGTCGGTTCGACCGGGGAAGGACCACGCTCTTACAGAATATCAATGTAAAATAGTAGCTTAATGATTATGTGTTTCGTATAGTGAGTGTAGAGAACCAGAGACACTTTTTAAATGAAACGAGGCATTTCATCTTAGTCCTCACGGGTGACAAGGCATCTGCATTTTGATTCGTAATCGAGGATAGATGTAGATGTCTATGGGCCACAGCAACCACTTACCATCAGGTGAACTGTGTGCTCGTTTGTGACCCTATCCTATATAAAAAAAGCGTCGATTTCTTATAATTTAATCGTGCAAGTTTTCGAATCATCATCATCATTACAGCTCTTCACAAGTCCACTACTGAACATCTTCCTCCAAAGAAAGCCGCAAAGCATGGTGCTGAGCCACTTTCCTTGTCATGAGTTTTTCATTTATGTTCTAAGTTATAATTAGTACCTATTATTAAGTCAGTGTTAATTATATTTATTGCTACTGTTTTCAAAAAATAATTAAATTACCAATAAATTATAAGGTGTTTTTTATATACATCAAATGTCTGATAGAAAAGCAAGTACATGTTTTGCTAAACTTTAAAAACAAAACCCAATTTTAAAACATAGACTTATCGATTATAACTCCTTTAACTTTAAAATAAGTTTAGTTCTAATTAATGGTATTTATTCCAGTTTCTGATTCATGTAAAGAATAAATAAAGCTAATTGTATATCTATTTACAGCCCATTAATATTCACTATTCTTTTATAATTATTTTATAAAAACGTTACCTACGTTACGTTACACTTGGATTTTCTCCTGTATCGCGGAGGCAACTTACAAACATAAATTGCATAAGGACACACATCCAGACCCGAAACAAATATTTGTAGGATATACAAATACTTGTTCCGTGCGGGATTCAAACCCGCGACTCCTGGCACAATCACTCATTGCCAAGCCACTGCGCCACGGAGCCGTCATCTAAAATAAAATAAATTCGTCCGCACATAAACGACGTTAGACAATGCACGGCCTTCAAGCCACACCTCCGTGCCCGTCGGAATGGGGAGCGTGAGGTTTTTTCGTTACGGCAGAATAAATTTCTGGATTCGGTCCCCACGCTCAAGGCCCGCGATGGAAGCTATGCAATAGCTTAAAACTATAAAATGTACTTTAAAATTTAGACTGTAGCTACAGTGGCGCCACCTATTTAGCGCTTTCCTACGGACACTTTCTTATACAGAGTCTGTACTCCTTACCTCTACACCCATAGTTTTGGCCAGTTATTGGATAGAGTGACGGCTTTGTGAAGAAGAAAAGACCTATCTTTTGCAGAGGCCTCGTGAATGGTCTAAGCTCGTGATAGACTGTATGATGATAATGAATAATTATTCTAACTAGTACTGCCATCTAGTTGAAATTATCGTAACAATTTTTTGTTCTTATCTTGATTATTTATACCTTTAAAGGAGCAATTCTTGTATATATATAATCGGAATCTCGGAAACGGCTCCAACGATTTTCATAATATTTGGTGCCCAGGGGGTTTCGGGGGCAATAAATCGATCTAGCTAGGATTCATTTTTAGAAAATCTCATTTTATCCGTGTTTTCAGACAATGAAAAACTGCTACAATATCGTTAGAATAAGAAGGTAAATTTTAACAGCACGATAATGATTATAATAGCTCAAATGGGATTACAGGCGGTCACTCAATCGTAGAACTCTGATTCGAACCTTGTCTTCAGTCCGACTTTTTTGTCGTTTTTTTTTTCGTTTCCTTATTTTTTGAGAAAATCTATTATTTTGAGGCCTTTTTTAATATTTTTTTAAATACACGAAAATAAAAATAAAAATAATTGCACTCATGATTTTTTATTCAAATAACCAGTTCAGTTTTTTCTATTATGTCGGTAAGATCAAAAAATATTATTTACATTTCATCAGTATGTAATTTGTATCTAAATATAATTTCCACAACACACGATTAAAATAAACCGAGGAAAGCTCAACCAGGTTTCAACTCTTGATTATAACCCTATGCCATGTGCTTTGAATTTTAATGATACCCTTTGTAAATATGGAAGATCTATGATTTATTTAGAAGGAATCGTCAGTAACTTGCTGGTTAAGAGTATGGAGTGTTTAACGATAGTAAAAAATATAAAATTACGGAAATCACTTCCAACTACTATTCACGGCAACCATTTCCGTTAAATATTAGTATTGACTTACCTTATATTCTAAATAATATGCTCCTTTTGACAACATAGCATCAATGTAACCAAGAGCCACCAAGCCAGCCTTCCAAGGAACGTAGCTTCTCTCGTGTGTAAGGTAGCTGGTAATGTCCAGTGCCGTTCTGTAGTCCAAACGCCCGGACAACGCTAAGTTCATCGCATCGTCGATAATTTGTGCTCGATTAATCGGATGAATCTCTTGAAAGCGAGAAGGATCGTTAAGAATCTTTATCAGAAGCTCCCAATTGTGTTGGTCGTAGTTGACACGGTAAAAACCTGGTGAAATAAAAATAAAGCTATGAAAATCATAATACTAGTAGTTTATCTTATACTTGAATTGTTTATGGGAGTTTTTTACTACTAAAGAATATATGATTAATAAAAACCTCTGTAAACGAGGGAATCGCTACCACGTTGTTTCTATATTTTTTTTTTTCAAATTTAATTGTTCAACAAATTATGTTTTATATTATTAAATGACTGATTCTTCCCATGACTGAATTTTTTTTCCGAACCAGAATTTTTTTTAACCGAAAAGCAAATTAAATGGACTTTTGTAATCTATAATGAATAAAAATTATTCTATTCTATTTCAAAGATGCAGATTTCGGACAAACGCAGGAACCTCCTTGATTTATTTTATTCTTCTTAATGATTTCTTATATTTACGCGAACACTATACATGATTAAAACTACTTTTACGGATTTTATCGCGTTTATTTCCTATCGGACCATAAACAATAATTAAAAAAGCTGAAGGTACTCCGGGTTTAACAATGACATCGGGACGTCAGTCATCTCAGTCCCCCGTGACCATGGGTGCTGAAAAGCGCCCGAAACGTCGGGAATTAAAAATAAAAGTAAATAAAAAGTAAAAATAAACGCGATAAAATCCGTAAAAGTAGTTTTAATCATTTATTCTTCTTTTTCAAGATTACGATATGCTAGGTAATGTAATGTAATATAACCCTTGTAATGCAAACAAAATTTAATTTTAGAGTTCCGTTACAAATTTCTCGTAAGCCTATTGAGCCGCTCTTCCATTTCGCGAAATAGATATAGGAGTTCATAAACCAGTCTCAAGGATTTATCACTCCTGTCCACTGCTCCAAATAAACTCAAAATCCTTATGTAAGGAGTGGGAGTTACATTGGAGTACACAGCACTCGAATGGCGGGTTTAAACCCACGACTTTTCGAGTTGGAAATCCACACCCATAGCTATTAGGCTACTGTCACTTCGTAATTAAATCTTCGCAAAATTTAATTTCATCGATTTCTGTCTGGTTTTGAACAAGTGACAAAAAATAATATATTTAAAAAAAATTCAATTGCAAAAGAAGTTCCAGTCCACCCGACGTGTCAACTGTTTATGTACCATCAGATTATGCCAAATTTAAACAAAGAAGGCTACAGGTATGTTCTCAACTCTGAGTACATAGGTGGAATGCCTTACAGCCTGTAATTTTACCAGCTCTCTACATCCTTCAGACAGAAACACACTGCTTCGCGGCAGAAATAGACTCCTATTTAAAGCTAAATTAAAATTACAGCCTAGATAGTACGTCCCACTGCTGGGCACAGGCCTACTCTCATTTCTAAGAGTGTTTCGGGGCACGGAAATGTCCGCCGCGCTCCCCAATGCGTGTTGACAAACTTCACATGGCTTTGAAATATTTTTTCTCTTATTTCTCAGACAAACATGGCGGATACCTAGACAAAAAAATTAATCTTCCAAACTAGAAAATGTAACAATAACACGAACCTGTTTGTTGTATGTTCGCAATAATCCAATCATTTCTACTGATGGAGATGTTTTTAACGACAATCGACCGCTCGCCTCTCAGCCACAGTTGCGGTCTCGTAGATTCAAAATCCTTCTCAGCAGCGGTTGTGTATGAAACTGGAATCCACCAAACTGGAGATTTCTGATCTTCGAGCGTGTTGTTGATTAAGACAAATCTTTCCTGCGGAGATTGATACAGAATATTGTTATATTGATACAGAATATTGTTTATTCATACAGAATATTGTTATATTGATACAGAATATTGTTTATTCATACAGAATATTGTTATATTGATACAGAATATTATTACATTTCTTATAAACAGAACTTGTGGCTTTATCACCATCAAGAATTATTAAATAATAATATAATATTAGAAAAAAAAAATAGGACTTAAGCGGGCTACATACGACACGATATCGGTGGCGATCTAGGGTGGAAAGAAATCGGGGCTTATATCGGGGCAGACCCTACACACGGGCCTGCTTAGCAGTACGCGTTCGGACTTGGAGCGGAACGCATATGCGGTAGATTTCTTCTAAATAGTTTCAATTCTTTTAAAACACCAACGTGTTGGTTTGGCATTAGCCCTCTCGGTTAATTTATTCGAAAATAGAAAAAGAGAAGTTGCTGGGTGAAAAAATAGCTCCAAAAGAGATAAAAATTAAGCCACATAAACGTACTAAATGGCCTGTAATCCAAGGACATGATTAATTTTCTCCGGATGGATGAAGACAGTTTTTATAACCTTCTAGAAATGATTTCGCCACTTATATAAAAACGTCAATTTCTCCTACCTATGCTATTTAGTTATTTCTTCTCTTTGTTCATTTCTGCTTTGGTCAAAATCTGGTTATGTATTACACACAACAAACAAGGAAATAAAATACTTTTGTATAATAATATGTATACTTTTTTTTAATGTAATCTTTATTTATGGAGTAAAACTATCAGAAAATAAAATAGCTTATATCTTTTTTTTAAACATAAAGAAACCTTTAATTTCGGACATACTCCCTTTTGTATAACTTGTTTGTTGATGTGGAGATGGTGAAGGAGTAGAAGTTAGTTGTTGATAAGAGGATAAAGGCACGTAAGAGATCGAAGTGTGGTCTTGTGGAGTTGTAAGAGATATGAGTGCGGTCTTGTGTTGATAGCGTTGGAATAGGAGTTAGTTGTTGAGGAGAGGCTTTATCTTCTCCTTACTTACATCATACACTCTACTTTACGAACGGCAATAAAAAAAATTAGTTTAGTAGGCATTCTTGACCATGTCACTTCGCAGGGTCACAGGCTAGGGTGGATATGATTTGAATTTCGATAAAATTTCAATTAATTTATTTATTTTATTCACTTTTTTTTTGGTTTTTTGTAAAATATCTGTGCCATAGGCTTCTACTCCGTTTATATGATTAAAATGTAAAAATTTTGTTATATAAAAAAAGGTCATTCAGTATCACTGTTTTGTTAACATCCTTCCGCGAGGGTTGCCGGCAGCGACTGCCAAAAGAAATCGGGCCGATGCGCCTACACACACGCAGTAAGGAGGGGGCGGTGCCACGATCTAGGAAGCATCGGCTGATCTAGGAAGCATTTTTGCTCCTGCCAGCCGATTAAGGAGGCGATATCGGCCACGACTTAGGATGGCCCTACATACGACACGATTTAGAGGCAATCTAGGAGGCATCCCCACTACTCCACCCTAGATCGCCACCGATATCGTGTCGTATGTAGCCCGCTTTAAATACTGCGTTACCATTATATTATGTCTTATTGATGGTGTGATAGATGGATTGCAGTCCACCTGATGATATGTTATGACAATGGTTTGGGGTCGCACAGGTTCCCCTCCCTTACATTGGTCAAATGTTGCAATAATTATATTAAATAAATAAGACAATAAACCAAACATGTTTTTTTTATGTACCATTGTGATTGGAAATTAACGTTTTTATTATTATTATTATTATATTGAGAGCTAATCTTACGCTCACTAGATATCGCCAATTGGGTTTGTTACGCTGTTATGCAATTTAATTATAAGTTTTATATTTCTAGTACGCGTATACACAAAAAATGCCCTAGTGCTGTATTCTTTATGCTTTTACACATTTTTAACAATTATTCTTTTTTTTTAATATTCGTAGTTTTGTTTTTGTATGTCTGATCTAATTAATATGAAATATAACTCATAATTTAGAAAGAAACATTAATGTCTCCAATTTTCTTGCAAATTGACTTCCCACGCTACGAAATATGTCAAATATTTCACATTATTCCTAAAGAACGTGGCCTTGAATGTCCTTATTGCAGACTGTGAAAACTTGCATCCAGCTCTTAACTTAGCATGTATCACAGTACCCAGACGTCTAGCAGCTTTGCCACTTCTCCTCGTCGGGTCGCTGGTACGAGTATTTTAAGTCTGGAGTCTTCTATATGTTGGTAATAATGGATGTTAATACTATTATATATAGCCAGAGCCGTAAAATCTCTCTGGCATTTCTCATAGTCGCCTCTTACGACACCCATGGGGTTTAATGTGGTTTACGGTGAATGAGAAAACCTGCATGTCCGAGAAACACAGATTAATGGACATTTTATTGTCCTAAATCTCTCTATAAATGAGAGTAGCCCACGTGACACATATAGTCGGCAATTTAAACTTAAAAAAAGAACGTTAACTCTACGCTAGAAATTTCACCTGTGAAATGGAAACAGTTTACATACATAAATTACACAAAAACAAACATTCAGACTATAATATTTTCGTTCCGATTTTCTCCCTTGGCTATGTACAGTCATTTAAACAAACATGATGAAAAACTGGCACACGATAATTAGAAGACATTAGCATACATATAAAACGCATATTTCTTGTTTCAAAGGTCAATGCTGAAGTAAAAGGAGTACCTAACAGAACTACGGATTTATTGGAATACATCTTTTTGCCAACACAGGTGTTGTAGTAAAGAAATTTAGTTAACTATTACAAATGTAAATAAAAGTGACAAATTTATCCAGGATATCAAATTACGTCTAATCAATGATGAAATTAATGTTGGTAACTCCCTGGACATACTTCAGAATTTATAATTTACGTAACAATATTATTTAAAATTGGAGGTTTAACTGGATTTAAATGTAATACGTAATGCCTGGACTTTAATAAGCTTTAAAGGTAACGGCAATACGTAATGTGATGATTTATGTTTATGTTTGTATTTATAAAAATAAAATCAATAATTAAAGTGTATGAGTTGAACTGTACTTAGGGTAAAAAGTTGGAAGAACAAATAAAAGTAACTTCCGAGTAGCCACCCCGTATGGGGGAATAGATGAACACGCTTTCCCGAGAATCCACCTAGGGTGGATTTTTAGTGTTTTTTTATAGAATAAGGGTGACAAACGAGCACACAGTGCACCTGATGGTAAGTGGATGCTGTGGCCCATAGAGATCTACATTTACCTTCAATTAAGAATCAAACTGCAGATGCGTTGCCAGCCCTAAGGAGTGAGATGGAAAGTCTCGTTTCCAGTAAAAAGGGCCTCCGGTTCTCTCCACTCACCATACGAAACACAGCAGCATTAAGTTGCTATTTTACCCTGGTATTCTGTGAGAGTGTGGTCCTAGTGGTCGAGCCGACCCATTTGTCCTGCAAGCACAATATAGCTGCAGCATGGCTCTACCACGTAAAAAGTGTATAAACACATCACTCAAGTGTTTATAAACGGAATAACCCCTCAGCGCCATAAGTCAATGCTAGACTACTGCGGAACGGAGCCGTCAGCTTTTACTGGCTTATATAAAAAATATACATATCCAACTTGCCTGTTTAAACTCTATCTCGCCGGTGTCGTAGTCCTTCGTTATTGTAAGCACGGGAAAGCCGGTCTGCAGCGTCCAGGAGTCCATGACGACGGCGACGTCCCCATCAAAGGCGCCGCTGCCTTGCGCGGCCGCGGTGAGCGCGCTCCACAGGTCGCGTTGCTCCGCGTCACCGAACTTGCGCGCGTTCAGGTACGCAGTGATGCCCGCGTTGAATACGGAGTCCGTTAGAAAGTGGTTCATCATGCGGAGGATCGCTGAACCTGGTAAAATAAAATCATAATGATGCTTTGTAGATCGAAATCCGATTACAGCGGCCACTATGAATAAGCATAACAATGTCTTCCAGACCGAATTTCGATCACAGCGGTCACTATGATAGCATACAATTTTGATCACGGTATCACTATGTAGACGGGGCTACAGTGCACGAGTTTGCGGGCAAGCACGTGTGAACTCTCTATTCCCCCATGCTCTTAGACCGACGTGATGCAGTCCGATAATACCGCGGAGAGATCGAACAAAGGATCAATGGCTGTACGTGCTTTTCGATGCAAGGGGATGAAACACAGCCAGCTTTATAACTGCGGGCTGCTACTGATAATTTATTGATCGAAGTCCCGGTAGGACAGAGTAGGAGGAGCCACTATATCCATATCCTCTCATTTTTGCTGCACCAGTGCTTGTTAGCAGGCTTCAAATGTCCTAGAAATATTTTACTTTATAGACTTTTATATAGAATAAGAGTGACAATCGAGCACACAGTCCACCTGATGGTAAGTGGATGCTGTGGCCCATAGACATCTACATCTATCCTCGATTAAGGATTAAAATATTAATGCGTTGCCACTACTGAGGAATAAGATGGAATGCCTCGGAACCGGAAACCCCTTTATTGGAAAAAAAGGTATCCGGCTTTCTACACTCACCATACGAAACCCAGCAGCATTGAGCTGCTATTATGGTCGAGAGCGTGGTCCTTCCCCGGTCGAGCCGACCGTTCGTCTATAGCCTCTAAAAAACATGACTTCCTCACATGTTTTCCGTCACCACCATTGTTGTCGATCTTCCACGTATTGAAACCAAACGGCTTTACATCACACAGCGCAAGAGTAAAATTATCAGATTGTCTTGCTTTCTCATTACAGTTTTTGCGTTTTCAAGGCAAAAGTAAAGAAGCTTTCGTAACGCTAATACAGAGTATAGTTTATCATCAAGAGGTTCATCAACACTTACTACAAGATGGGATTGTAGAAAAGCGCTGTATTATCCACTCGAATGTCGGGGTCATTTTGACCAATATGGCGCATCTGTCGAGCACTTTCCGAAGTACTATGTAAGTATATTAAAATTCATATATCAATGGAAACGTTATTAAATATGCTATCAGATTATGCATAACAGATATATATGTTATATATACGTATGTTATATATATCATATATATGTTATAAATAGTTTGCTATCACTCGACGCCATATTATGGCGTTTGACAGATGCGCATATTATTTGAGATTGGACATCCGAGGGGCTAATAACAATTAGTAAAAAAAAAAACATAATAAATTACATTTCTTAAACTTTATTAACCTGAGTATTCAAATACATATTTAATAAGATCTAATTGAAACTGTTTGGAATAAAACCTACTTATTTGTTAGATTCTAGTAGTTTTTCCTCAAAATGTCCCTTGAAGTAGTATCTTAGTGAAATGATGGCGTAGCTTGACTTTCAAGTTATGTTTGTAAAGGCTATTTTTGAATAAAAAAAAACATTTGACTTTGAGTCTCATATGGTATCATATAGGTTGGCTCACAAAAAATGGTCATTATTATGTTCAATGGTCATATTGCCACAAAACACAAATCTTGACTCATACAACATATTAATACGTATTTCATTAAGTCATCACTGAATCTAGTGGTGGGTCGCACTCTTGAACCTCTTTCAAATTTTTTGAGCTACATAGTTCGATTGAACTTATTGATTCCTATGACTGTAGCTGTAGTCGTATGATAACTTTAGAAAGAATTAGATATCCGGACCGAGAAAGTAACACTCCCACAAAGTATACCAGTATAAAAAACAGGATATCGTAGATGTGTTTCTTATGGTGGGCGGGGAGAATCGAGGACTCATTTTACAGGTTACGAAGTATTCCATTTTAGTTTTCAGTGGTGACGTAACAACCTTTTTATTTACAATTGAAGATAGATGAAGAAGTTTATAGACCACCGTAATACTTTTCGGGTGACTATATGCTTGTTATGCACTATTTAATATAAATATTTATGTAAATCATATATACCTCGGGAACTCGTATAAAAGTCGGGAATTAAAAATCATTTAAATTAAACGCGATAAAATCCGTAAAGTAGTTTTAATCAACTCATATAACCGTTTAATGAAATACATATGTTATAAAATTAAATTCATATGTGCAATAATATTAAATTCATATATGCAATAATATTAAAATAAAAAAGATCTTTTGTTAGAGCAAAAATCGGGGTGGGTAAACTCCCAACCTTGGAGAACTTACCCCCAGCCCCCCTTGGAGAGCTTAGAGCATCAAGTAGTCGTAAGTCCGTACTAAATACGGATGAGTGCTTACTTGTCTGCACGTACTTTCGTGGTTAAATGTAATGTTCTGTGCAATGGATCACTTAAGCTACGCGGTCTTTAGGCCCGCCCCACACACTACATACGGAATTCCGAAATGAGACGAATGGGTCGTCCACACACATACGGAATCCCGTTTTGCCCGCAAAATTCCGAACGAAAAACTACCGTAAATGTGTGACGGGCCTTGATTTTACATGAACTTACTGCGTTCAGAATCCCTATTCGGAATTCCGAAAGGGAATTCCGTATGAGGTCGGCCTAAGACTGCATCCGGAAATTAACACCATGACCGAAATAAGACAGAATAATATTAAACTAAACCTTCCTAATTTATTTTACCTAATATGCCTGTTACTTTGAATTCTATAATATAATTTACTTTACATTCTGTTTCCTGTATTTTGACCGCTATTATTTGTACTCATTAATAATTATATGTGTAGATACCTATATTTTTCGTACACACCCTCTACTCTCTCTACTCTTCTACTACTGAAGAGATCACTTTCAGAGTGATCAGATAAGTTTACCTATTGAACATATATTTAAAATTCGGCTTGTACGTGTATTGCGTGTTTGGTGTACATTAAGGAATCAATAAATAGTTATATTTATATTGACAAACAGAAAATAAGGGAAAAAAAACATTGCAAAAGAAGAAGTCTTGTGGAAGCGACGCAATATTTTAATCCTGTGGCTGTCGTAAAGGCCGACTATTTTATTTATTTATTTTTAAACCCTAAGGTAACCTAATGTCAGTTCGAATTCTAGGTGGTGGTCAAAATTAAATAATAAGTTCCTTAAATACGAAATAAAAAAACATAAACATTTTGTAAATCCATAAATATGTACATATACGTAAACATACATATTATATACTTATATACATACATTAAATATAACCTTCTTTAACAAATTCCAATAAGTAAAAGTAAAGTTACAGCTTATATACGTCCCACTGCTGGGCACAGCCTCTCCTCATTTCTGAGAGGATTTAAGGGCAAGGAAGTGTCCGCCACGCTGCCCCAATGCGTGTTGGCGAATTTCACATGTTTTCGAAATATTTTTTTTCTTATTCCTCAGACATTTAGGTTTCCTCACGATGTTTTCCTTCACCGCCGAGCACGTGGTAAAACAGCACTTAAAATTGCAATTAACAATTTCATTGGTACCGGCGGGGATTGAACCAAGGATACTCGCGTTCTATTATATTTACAGCGAGCGTTAACCATCTGAGCTACCAAGGCTCTCCAAAAACGGTAAGTAATTCCAATAAAGGTAACTAGTAATAATTATAATTACGATTAAGTCGGTGTTGATGTTTTCATAAAACGTTCTTGAACGACTCTTTTGTAAACGTTCTTAATCATAGCTTTTCCGATATCATCGGGTAAGGAGTTCCAGAGATATGTAGCCTTAACAGTAAAGGTTTTACCGATACTTTGGGGAATACTACTAAAATCTTACGCCTTAAGTTATATATTTCAAATTCATAACTCATTTCGATCCAAAACAAGAATCAACAATAAATGGGTAGTGTTTTTTCACTACTCAAACATACAAATACAAGTATCTACTTATTCGAATCCTTCGGAAATTCGATACATGAGCCGTGGCTTTGATTTCTACAGGATATTAGCTTGTATGGTTTCCTCGAATCCAATCTAATTGTGGATACTCGTATGTAATACATGTTTGTCACTATTGTATACCCATTGTTTGAGAACGCGAAAGCTTTGAGCTTAATAATTACTAATTAAAAAAAAATTGCGATTAAATACACTTACACCAAACTTACATAGATCTTTATATTCTTTACTATCCCAAATTGAACTAATCGTAGTTTTGGAGGCTCAATTAAAACAAAAAAGCTTTCATTATTTTTTTTACATGCGTCTTTAGATAAATTATAGTAAGTTGAAGATTTAATTTATGTCACTAAGAGCTTTGTCTCAATTTGACGGTAACCCGTCATTACCCCCATCCTTACGCGGTTTAATACTCGTAATCTGAGCGACCAACTAGTCTTAGTTCACGTAAGAAATGAGCCCAGATACGAATAAGCCAACCTACCCTACCTCTTATGAGCGAAATTTTAAATAAAATGACTGGGCCCGTGGCTAGGTTAATAAATTCAAATAGAATATTCGAAACCTGGGCCGGCATCAAAAGCGCCCTTATGAATAACTTCTCAGACCATCGCAACGAAACCGCATTATACAGCAATTTATCACTACAAACCCAAGGGTACAGTAACCCGCAAGAGTTTTACAAGTGAGTTCTATGTTTATTTAGTACAATAGTGACGTATGTCACCCTAAATGAAACGATAATTACGACTATAGAAGCTAAACGTGCACTCTATAAAAAACTGACCTTGCAAGCTTATTTACACGAACTAAACGATCCTCTAGGGTCTAGCATAAGATATTTGCGACCCGAAAATATGGAGAAAGTACTTGAATTCGTGCGGGAGGAGTTAACCTCTATTTTCAACAACGAAATGAAGGCGGTCAGCACCGGAAGGAATGGACTCAACCCCTAGCTCTAACCTACTGTTGCGCGCCATAGTTGCTGCCAGTAAATGCCACTAGTGCCATCTAGTATCGAGTAGCAGGCATTAAGAGAGCTTTCTAGAAAATGCCATGCTAGAACTACAGTACTGTACCGTAGCTAGAAGCGACAGTAGCCTAATGGCAGGGCGTGGACCGCGAACTCAAAAAGGACGTGGGTTCAAATCCGCCATTCGACTACTGGCGTGAACCACTCGTAACACAAGCAATTTAAGCTTACCACGAGTGGTTACGGGGAATATTAGTAATGTTTATAACATTGTTAATATTCTTAAAAAAAAAAGAACTTTCCACCTCCAGCGCCCTTTAGTATCAAGTGGCAGAACTAGGAGAGAACTTTCTCCACTTATAATGGATTTTAGTGAAAGGTCCTATATAATTATTAAGGACCTCGACCGAGACAGTATTGAATTGATAATACAAGCGAAGCTTCGGAGCGAAATAAAGTGAACTAAAGTACTCGTAATCAATTTGATTAAGTATTGGTGTGTTTTAGGTTTTAATTAGTGTGCGGTAATTAAAGTGTCAATTTTGGTAATTAAATCCAGTACTGTGACACTGGCCGAGGAAGGAAAAGGGGAGATCTCCCGCCGAGCAAGGTGTTCTGACCGGGGAGCGGCCAACACTCCGTGTGATAGTTCGGAGCGTTTCTGTATATACTGTTTATTATTCGGAACTTTTGATAGCGCGATTTAGGCTTCGGTGTGAGTCGCTTGTGGCGCGACGACAGCGCCGCCACATCACCCCCCTGCTCAGACCGGAGGTCGACAGTGCAGTCCGATTGCCGGTGCGTCCTTAATGCCGGTGGGGAATGCATGCTGTGTGCGTAAGGGCAAGTGACACCGGTGCGAATGATATGCCGATGTGTAATGCATGCCGTACTACGCACTGGCAAGGGATGCCGGTGAGAACGATGTGCCGGAGCAAGTGCCAGAAGTCTGCCTTATAAATCTGTGGTGAGTCGAGATGAAGACAAGTTGGACTGGCTTGCAGGAACTGAAGACTGCAGAAGACGATTCTCAGTAGTCAATGGTAGGGGTCTTGAGGATAATGACGAAGGCTTGAAGGCTAGTTTCCGAAGGTTGTTGGTTGCGTCTTCAGATCACATCGGGGTCACCACTGTGGCCATGGAAGGAAAAGGGGAGATCTCCCCTTTTTCCTTCCATGACCACACTACCATTAAATAATTTCCTTCCCAAACCTACCGCGTTTAACATACCGTCACCATCTAGACCACAAGGTAAACAAACTCTTTTAGACAGCCACCTATGCAACAGCACAACACAACACGCTGTTGGTATTGGGCCGGCATTGTCTATAGACTCGAAATCCGACGGAGAAGAAAGGTTTTCGAGTGGCAGCTTAGTACCGGTAACCGAAGCACGGTCCCTGCTACATGGAGTTCCATAGACACCTGCAGCTAACTTCAAACTAAAAGACCGCAGATGCGGTGTCACCTCTGAGATTTAAAATGGAACGACTCTCAACCTATAGTAACACTGACTTTTATACCCTTGAGACCAGAACACATCGTCACTATCATTCATCATCATTTCAGCCCTTCACAAGTCCACTGCTGAACATAGGCCTCCCCCAAGTAACGCCTCAAAGCACGGTCCTGAGCCACCCGCATCCATCGATTTCCTGCATGTCTTACCAGGTCATCACTCTATCTAGTGAGGGGTTGCCCAACAGTACGCCTACCGGTACGAGACTGCCACTCGAGAACCTTGTTTTTCCCTTCAGACTAGAACACAGTAATGCAAGAATTGCTTTTTGGTAAAAGAAATAGGTAACAGGGTGGACCTACCCAGAAAGGCTGCTGAGCAAAATGGAGTCTTACTACGTAATAAATAAGAGCTTCCTTTTTGGGAGGCATATTTTTAGCTGTGGACTTGTGAAGAACTGTAGTAATTAAGATGGTAATTGTAAGCTTAATGGTTTAGAGCGGATTGTTAAACTAAAGATACTAAGACTGTCTTGAACTGTACTGTCACTCCCCAGAATTTAATTTAAAATTTATTAGAAGTGGTTAACGATTCTATTAGTAGTGATAATAAGGTTACAAGGAACTTAATATTTTTTTTATTTAACTTTTAGATCCTGATACATCCGTAGTAGCTCAGATGGTTAGCTCTCGCTGTAAATTTCACAGGATCAAAACCGGTTTCAATCCCCGCCGGCACCAATGAAATTGTTAATTGCAATTTTAGGTGCTGATTTACCACGTGATCGACGGTGATGGAAAACGTCGTGAGGAAATCTGCCTGTCTGAGAAATAAGACAATAAAAAAAATTTAACATGTTAAGTTCGTCAACAAGCACTGGGGCAGCGCGGCGGACACTTCCTTGCCCTAAAACCCTTTCAGAAATGAGGGGAGGCCTGTGCCCAGCAGTGGGACGTATATAGTCTGTAACTTTAACTTTAACTTTTTTTATACATCCTGTTGTACCGATGAACCAAACATCTTACCTATGCCATGCGTTCCCTTTTTTTTACAAAAAAAAAACGTTTAATTCAAACCTTACCTTTTCCATAAGAGATTTTATCGAAAATTGCTCCTATTTCTTCTGGATTACCGACCTCCACCGATATCTGATGCGAAGACGTGAGGGCATCCAACTTGAACACGCTTTGCACTTCGTTCAAAACAAATACTTCCATTAGCTTCCACGTCTTTTCCACCTAAGAGACAATAAAACACTAATCACATACTCATGTACATCATGAAACTATGTTTAAAGAGGATTCCATTGTCAGCAGATAATACTGCTGTGTTTCTTATGTTGAATGTGAGAGAACCCGAGACTCTTTGTACTGGTATTGAGGCGTTTAATCTTAGCCCACAGTGGTGACAACGCATCGTCATTTTGATTCCTAATCCAGGATAGATGTAGATGTCTATGGGTCACAGCGCCCACATAATATTACTGGTATATTTGTCTATATGCTGGTATATATGTGTACACAATATCTACACATTGAATAAAACTATTTTTACTGATTTTATATTTGAAAATTTTTATAAAGAAAACCTCAAGTTTTCCAAGTAAAAATCCCGTTTACATACACGGGTAAGAGAAACTTACTAAATACTTCTCAATAAAATTCTTACTAAGGTACGTGGGAGTAATATGGTCACCTTAAGCTTTGCCGCTCTATAAAACCAAAACTAAAGAAGGACAAAGACAAAAACACAATGTCGTATAATAAGAAAAGAATAGCAAACAAGCTTTGGCAATAATTAGAAACATTTCGAAAATCTACTTAAAAAACTATCCTCATTACACCATACTAAAGTCGCCTAAATTATTTACTCTAATGTCAACTGTCAAAATGACGTCGATAAGGCAGCGCCCTTTTGACCCTTTATTTGATTGATCGATGAGGAACTATCGTACCACAAAGTCATCTACGCAAATAATGCTTTAGTTATAAGAAAATGACCATATTAACCGAATGACCAAATATATAATACTATACCAGTAAAATGTAGCTGTTACAGAAAATCTATACTATAGTCATGTCTCATGTCTAGTATTGAACTATTTACAAGCTGATGAAGAAGGTTTCTTAGCGCAAGCTCTCGAGCCTTTCCCGTGGACGGTCCAGAAGCAAATCGGGGCAACTATAATTTAGTATTTGATATAACTTATGGAGGAAAGGTTGCAGAGGTCTAAAAAGGGTTGTAAACGTCTAATATACAACTATGTCATTTTCTTTGCATACTTACCGCATCAACGGCAACATACTCCACGTAACTGGCGAAACCTTCGTTTAACCATATGTCGGACCACCAGGCCGGTGTGACCAGGTTGCCGAACCACTGGTGCGCGATTTCATGCGCCACCACCGACGCTACGCGGGCTTTAGCTGTAGTCGGTGACACACCTTCGTCGTAGAGCATGGCTATTTCTCTGTGAATATTCCAAAGTTGATATGTTATGGACCAAGTGATAAATCCGACAATAAATAATAAAATTTAATGTTATCGAAATACCACACACTGACTGACTCATCACGGGATCTCTAAAACTATACACCTGGTAGACTTCAAATTTAGTACTATTACTCATTTCGCAATGTAGACGATCAATAAGAACAGATTTTACGATAGTACCACCAAAAGAAATTCTTGATTTTTACATCTAGGTTCCGTAATAAAATATTATTGTGCGCATAGCGAAGCGAGCAAGTATTACCTAGTACTCATATATACTTCATTATTTATTACCTAGTCTGGTCATGAACTACCAAATCATATTTTTAACTCTGTTAAATAAGTAACAGACTTTACTTATCGCCTGAAAAATACCATATCCCTAAGTTTTTTTTTGCATAAAACAGCCTAAGTCACACCTGGCGTTACTGTCTATCTGTACGTCAAGTTCCATTACCATCGGTTTACCCATTACGAAGATTAGTCTCGACAGCAAGACAGAGAGGTAAAAATCTTAAAAATGCTAAATCATGTCCTATTGTTATAGTTACAGAGAATTAAAGTCCACTGCTGAACGCAGGCCTCCCCCATAGATTGTTTAATAAATATGCCTAATAATATCCTAATAGGGGAAGATATTTGTAGTTACCACGCTTGGTAAGCGGGTTGGCAATATGGTATTCGGGTCTTAACCCTTCAAGCGCCATCAAAATGCCATGCATTCGCATGCGCCCGGTAAATCCCAAGCGGTCGCATGCGACGTCACCCACCCACAAAACTTAAAACCATTTAAACTTATATTTAGAGACTACTTTTCTATGAAGAAGTTTAGCATTATAATATTTATACAAAATTCTCTATCTTGTGGTCTACAAAAGTCGGGTTTTACTTCATTACATAAAGATTTTATTGTATTTTGATAACAAAAAAAACATACCAAGCGAATGTTGGGAGAGTGAAAATCACAATTATTTCAATATATATTACTTGAAATTATTTAAATAAAAAGATAAATTGTATTCACACAAAAACTTTCATTACAATTTTATAATAAAACACTATACTAAAACACTAGAAAAATCCAAAAATCAAGACCATAACATTCACGCGAAAATGGCGTACGAAATAAACGTAGATTATTAGTAAATATTCATAGGACTACAGTTTTTATTGCACTGTAGGATAGAATATTTCATATTGATTATATAATGCCAAACTTCTTCATAGAAAAGTAGTCTCTATTTATAAGTTTTATGGGTTAAAATACTGTAGGTGGGTGCGACCTCATTAAACCGCTAGGGATTTGACGGAATATGGCCGCGGTCTCATGAGACCGCTAGGGGGTTTAGAGGTTAATAGTATGTAAATTACTTCCCCAGCTCAAAAGGCAGTTATTTAAATATACGAGAGCAATATCATAGGGAGAGCGAAGGTCGTTCTCAGTGAATGCGAATATGACCGCCCGCGAGTTTGCTTATTGCTCAAAAGTAAAAAATAACATTGCTTAAAGATCTATGCTGGAGGAGCCGTGCACGAGCTGAACCGCTCTACTCACGGTGTTAAGTATGGACTTACAATGAGGCTATAACATGCAAATCGATGCATGCGATTCAAAGCCCTTTGTGTTAGTCAATAAACCGACAACAGGCGGAGCACAGTCGCGCACGAACCAAACGCTCGAAGCGCACTTCTTCGAGGCTTGTAAATCGGTCCACACCACACGAATTATTGCTCGGCTCATGCTCCACTCGCGCTCGTCTCGTATAGCGTAGACCCACCTTTTAATCATACTGTACGTCACTCCGTATAAACAGTCTACTAGTGAGTTATACTCAGAAATCTTACAACGCCCTTCGTATCTAGTATAACAATTCGTACAGAATGCTGTTAGGGCCGCCGCGCTTCTGCAGCGCGCCGGAAATGTTTACTGAATCTCACGTTGATTGCTTTTTTTTAATTCGAAAGTGATGTCCATCTTTGGTGCGTAGAGTGCGGGTCATCAACAATTGTGTTCTGGTCATAACAGGCTGTAGACTTGACTGTCCTTATGTCAACCATTGCAGTAAAGAAATAATCAGAAAAAAATACTAACATCACGTGTTTATTATAAGTTAACAGTTGGTAAAATTAAAAATTTTGTACAACCGACTTCAATACAAATAAAACGAGAAAATCATCAATGTATTCGAAGTCAATTAAATACGCATTATTAAGGAAAACTCAAAAACTAGTGGTCAGATCTTTATCTAATTTATATGGGGTCACATGAGAAGCACCAGCGGAAAAGTTCTAAGAAAAATAAAGGTTCTAACATAAAATAAAAAAAACATACAGTCGAATGGCGTAGCTCCTAATTTTTAAAGTCTTTTAAAAAATATGAGTAAGTAATACCCCATTTATAATGATCTAATTAATAATTATTATTTTGGGCATATAAATTCTTTTTCCCTGCCGTAGCCAAACGCTTATATATATTTAAATGTGCCGCGTGAACAAAGACAAAGTCCTTACCTGCATAATTACTCTCACTAGTTGTACAATTATGTTATAATATTATAGTATATATTATTTAATTTTTTATTTAATACGTTTTTCTTTATTCAAATTTGTCGTGATCATTGTAATTTAGCAATTTTAATTGCGTTTAAAATAGATATTCTTTTCTTTAACAATGGAATGATAAATTGCTTGTATGGCGCGTAAATGATGTATCCAATGAGAATACCGCTAGTGATCGATTAACACCCCCCGTATAAACCACAAATGCATTTCTTTCCTTTGTTACACCCAACCGTACAATCTATGTTAGATTCTACGGAACTAAATGTACATCACATATTGTTTAGAATTAAGGAGGGAAACCGTGTCAATTTTTAATAAGCTTTTAAATATTAGTTACGGTAGACCACTGACAATTGTGTGCTTCTTTGTCAGATTACGTGGTTACAATGTCAGCTTTTTTAGTTTCGAATCCAACCGTAGACGGCTTATAAACGAATTTCTTCATTTGCTCAAAAATATACATTTTTATAAACACTTTGCTGGCGCGCAAACTCACCAAAAATTTCATCGTATTCGAATTAACGGTAAAGGGGCGGATAAAAAACAAAACAATAAACAATAACTAAACAAAAAAAGAGCTAGTGACACTATTTACATTACTAGTACTTTCATTAACTAAGTAAGTTTACTCTGGTTATTCTATCTAAATAAGCTCAAAAATGCTAGTGTCAAGAGTGGCTTATCATACATAGTAGTCGAATGGTAGATTAGAATCCACGACTTTATGAGTTTACGGTTCGAACCCAACCATAAGGTTATAGGTACAGCCTATATATGTCCCACTGCTGGGCACAGGTTTACTCTCATTTCTTAAGAGGGTTTTAGGGCAAGGAATTGTCCGCCGCGCTGCCCCTATGCGTGCTGGTGAACTTCACATGTCTTCTAAATATTTTTTTCTTATTTCTCGGACATGCAGATTTCCTCATGATATTTTCCTTTACCGCTGAGCGCGTGGTAAATCAGCGCTTAAAATTTCAATTAACAATTTCATTAGTGACTGCGGGGATCGAACCCGGGTAGTTCGCGTACCGTGAAATTTACAGCTAGCGCTAACCATCTGAACTACCACGACTCTTTACCATACGTAACCATAAGGTTACTGTCGCTTAATATTAGATGAATACTGTAACGCTATTATCATTACATTTAACTTTGCTGAAATTAATAGTGCAGGGAACTTACTTCAGTATAGTGGAAGGGTGAATTTGAAAACAGTTTTCAAACAACAGAAAGGTAAGCAATAATATTATGGTACCATCAACTATAGGGCTGCTGTCGGTTGCCAGTTGTAACATTTTTATGAATATGTAATTGATGTCATAATAAATATAACAAAACTTTTTAAAACAATTGAAAGCTGCTGTGTCGTAATTGCTGTGCTGCGTTTTGGTAGTGACTTAAATGCTAAGATTTATAGCTCGACCAAAATACTGTAGTCTTATCACGTGCGGACGTCGAACAAAACAAAATTACAAAACGATTGGCTAAGGACAAAAATTTGAATAAAACAAACGTAGGCATGCAAATTCTGTAATGAAAACATAGTAAATAACTTTAAAATCAATCACTAAAAGAATCAATCAACTTTTTTACATTTGTGAATCACAAGCCTTATGGGCTATCAAAATATACTATATCATGAATATACTACACTATTTTTACGTGGTAGAGCCATTCCGCAGCTGTATTGTGGTTGCAGCACAAATGGGTCGGCTCAACCTCGACCTCGGTGACCATGCTCTCACAGAATAATAGCGTAAAATAGCAGCTTAATTCTGCTGTGTTTCGTATGGTGAGTGTAGAGATCCGTGGACAAGTTTTACTGGAAACGAAGCATTCCATCTCAGTCCTCAGGGCTGGCAAAGCATCAGTGTTTTGAAATTTAATTGAAGATAAATGTCGATTGTTATGGGCCACAGCATTCCACTTACCATCAGGTGGAATGTGTGCTCGTTTGTTAAATTTAAAAAAATTACGGGCACACGTTGTTTGTCCCCGATGGACTCCTAAACTACTTAACCGATTTTAATCAAATTTGCACACCGTATGCAATTTGGTCCAACTTGAGAGATAGGATAGTTTTTTGCCCATGAATGACCCACATTTTTTTGCGAATTTAAGGATTTTGCATAGGAAATGACAAAGGATCATCGAAAAGGGCAGAACAACGTCTGCCTGGCAAGCTAATATATATACACAGGCATAAATAGATATCTATACAGACAAATATATATTAAAAAACTGTTTTAAAGGATTCTAATTTAAATAAAAATTTGCGAAACTTAATTTAGATTAGATTTAAAAAAAAATTACGGCTTGATAGCAATTAGATACGGTGTTGTAAGAAATTATATCCTGGTTTGAACAAGTAATTAGAAATATACGAATAATTACTCCGGGTTCAGATGCCTGTCCTTGTAATTTCATTCATGTAAAATGTCCAATTATTACTAGAGGAAGTCCCAATATGGTAAGTATACCACTTTTTCACAAGCTTTTATTATCTTCGCGTGTATATATCTATCTATACTCGCAATTTTCAATATAATTATTATCACATTGTAGACTACTAAATGAGCTGAAAATTTCCACTCATATCAAGGACCGATGACAATAAAACAATTTTATAACTTTATCCTAGTGTGCTGATCAGGATCACATCAATGCGTGTTGTTCAATTTTTTTAAACTCTTATATTGTTATTTAAGTAGAAAAATCGAAAACATACCTAAAAGTAAGCAATCCCCAATTCTCCATAGCACCAGCCTTGAAATCAGGCAACGCCATCATATCGATCTTCGGCAACGGAAACTCTATTTTGTAATATTCTTCTAGGAATTTCAAGATCTTCGGACCGATGTCTAAGGCGTAAGCGGCAGATGGTAGAGCTTCCTTCCTCGCCCAAACGGAAAAATTGTTGTCGCTCATGTTGCCGAAATCCGTAACAGCGAAAGCGACCAAGTACGTAGACATTGGAAGAGATTCGGCATAGTGATCCCATGTGTAGTTCTTTAAAGAATCGCTGTGAATAATAAAAACACGATAGTAATACGATTAAAGACCAGAGTATGAATTTAAATGGAACTATGCGTTCCGCTATCCGTTTCGAGAGGAAATACGAAAAATTTACTGTTGAACTTCAGACGTGGTAGAGCCACGCTGCAGGTATATTATAGTTGTAGCACTATTGGGTCGGTTTGACCAGGGCAGGACCACGCTATCACAGAATGCCAGCGTAAAATAGCAGCGTAATACCGCTATGTTTCGTATGGTGAGTGTAGAGAACCGGAGACTCTTTCTTCTTTCGTTTCTTGAAAACGAGGCACTCCGTCTTAGTCCTCAGGGGTGACAACACATCTGCATTTTGATTCTTAATTGGAGATAAATATTTATGTATGGGCCACAGCATCCACTTACCATAAGGTGGTATGTGTGCTCGATTGTCACCCAATGCTATAAAAAAACTAACGAGGTATTCCGTCATAACTCTTAGGTAAGACAATGCAACAGCATTTTGATTATTAATCAAGGATGGTAGCTGTATATGGACCACAGCAATCACGTACCATCAGGTGGACGTTCGCTAGTTAGGCAGGTTTTCTGCTATTTTAACACAAATCGTAGGACTCCCTTTCTGGCAAGAAGTCCGTCTGGATAAGTACTACTCTCTTAGATTTCTGTCAACTAACACCAGTGCAGCACTACTGTGTGTCTGAAAAGTGTTATACACAGCTATCATAATTACAGGCTGTTACAGCCGATTTACCCTTCTACAAGTACTGTAGCGAGTTTAGTTACAGGGCAGTTGACAGTAAACGGTTAAGTGGACAGTAGCGTTCAAATGTCTTAGTGGGGAGTTCAGTTAAAAAGCACAATTTTCTATTTTAAGGTTCGAACGCGAACATGTTGCGCCCTGTATAACTTATGTACTGAACCACAGAATAAATAATAGTACTACGACTGAACTAAACTCGCTCATTTACATCACACGAGCGGCGAGTGGCGGGTGACGCTTAGCACTTAACTCCCCAATAAATACCGGCTGGCTATCCTATTAACATAATTGTTAACTTGCTACTTAATTCTCTAATTGCCGTTCAGACGACATTTTCTACTTAACTCGCCAGATTCGCAAGTTAACTTGCTACTGTACTTGTCGAAGTTTAAATCGGTCTTTAGGCATTCCGCCTTGGACCACTTAAAGTGGCGATAAGTTATCCGTAAACTTCTTTGTTTGAAGTTGGTTGCAGTTGTCAATTTAAAAAAATGACAAAACATGATTTGCCCTCGAACTTGTCGACGTGTTCCTGTGAGTGGTCGAATGAAATTTTATCAGTGAGTAGAAGAAAATTCATCACTAGCCTCTGCGTTCTCTATGCGTTCACCAATCTATCATTATACAACCCTTTCGAGAGATCACCTGACGGTTTAAAAGCCCGATATTCAACAGTATTATATAGAGGAAAGTTTTAAAGAAAATGCTTCAAAATACGAGTGTGTATATGTTCTTTACGTATATTCGTGAAATGCAACTTTACATACAACACAGGCCTCGTACTACTCTTAAAGGCCTTGGCCCAGTTACGAGACTACAATAAAATCTCCAGCTCCGACACACAAGAAAATTTTGCCAGCAATTAAAGTAAGTAACAAAATCAACGTTATATCGCTATGTAGTACGAGCATAGAGAATTTATTTTATTTCTTTTAAAAAACGCTACCCCTACACTAGAACTTTCTCCTGTATCGTGGGGGCAGTTTACAAACATAAATTGCACAAGGACATACATCCAGACCCGGAACAATTATTTGTAAACCACACAAATACTTGTTCCGTGCGGGATTTGAACCTGCGACCCCAGCGCAGCCACTCATTGCTAAGCTACTGCGACACGGAGTCGTCAAAATTCTTTACCCCATATCATCTATTGGTTGTATAAGGGGTGACAAAGTAAAATGAAACAATAGTTCGGTATCAGCGTATTCCTGATAACAACTCAAGATAACAAAACCTGCCGTTTGCAACTCGCTTGCCATGCGTGGCAACGATGGCAAATATCCACCCTATGGTGGTATGACATGCTTTTGATAATAAATCAATGGACGAATCTGATTTATCTCTTATAACACACGGAAATGCTAATTTATTAACGCTTTATAGCCACGTGCGGTCTTATGACTATCATATGAATGAATCTTCATTAAACGTGTCTAACACATTGCCATGCTGCAGCTAAATTATAATTGCAGCAAGAATATGTCGACTTGACCGGGGAAGGACCACGCTCTCACAAGACACCAGGGTAAAATTGCAGATTAATGCTACTGCGTTTCTTGTTGTGAGTGTAGAGAACCAGAAACCCTTTCTACTGAAAGAGAGTCAGAATGCCTCTCCTATTCTCCTGAATGTTAGTCCTCAGGGGTGACGACGCATCTGCATTCGGATTCCTAATCGAGGATCAGTGAACTATATATACAGTGGGTGCGTTCGGCAGAAAAAAGCGCTAGCAAGCGCTTATAAGCGCTAAAATAGTTTTCGGCCAGGACACGATTCCTACTTCAGTAGCGCTGACACAATCCGCCATTTTGCTTATTTAATTTGTTTGTTTTAAAGTAGAGTTTATAAGTTGTTTTGTGCAATATTAGTTTTAAGTAATATAATGACATGAATAAACATATACATGTTATTAAAAATTCATGATTGGTAAGTTTTTAATATAAATACTTTACAAACATATATTTAAATTAGGTTAGGTTCCCCCGTTAAAACTAACATCGTGTCCTGGAGGAAAATAGCTACTTATGATTTGACAGCGCTTACCGCTTACGATCGCCATTTTGCTTACAAGCGCTTGCTAGCGCTTTTTTCTGCCAAACGCACCCACTATTATACTAATTAACGTACTGTTTCTGCCTCCTGACGATGTTCATATTGGAAACGGACGTCATGTCGTTGGGGCGTGCGATGCTGATAACGAAGCGAGCCTTCAGCGCCGGCTCGTCCCAGCACGGAAACGCGCGGCGGGCGTCCGTCGCTTGAAACTGCGTTACTGCTATCCATCTGACAAAGAATTTTTTAATTTTATATAATTTTAAATTATAAATTAGCAGCGATGGGAGATATGATAAGGATATAGAACGACGAGTGAACGCAGGAAACAGAGTAAATGGAGCCCTGCACTCTATTGTGAAGAGTCAAAATGTGTCGAAAAAGGCACGTATGGCAATTCACAATGCTGTGTTGGTCCCTACTTTAACGTATGGTAGTGAAAGTTGGGTGTGGCAGAAGAAGCACAAGAGTAGAATAAATGCAGTAGAAATGCGGTCGTTAAGGAGTATGTTAGGGCTGAATCTGAATGACAGGGTGAAAAATTGTGTGATAAGAGAAGAGTGTGGTTTGCAAGATGATGTTGTGACCAGGATTAAGAAAGGAATGCTTCGGTGGTTTGGTCATGTGGAAAGAATGGATGAGGAAAGAGTGACAAAGAAAATGTATGTTGCAGAAGTGAATGGCAGAGTCGGAAAGGGACGTCCTAGGCGAAAATTTATCGACCAAATTGGCGATTTATTGAAAACGGGCCAAATTAGGAGTACCCTTAACCGACGAGCATGCATGCGTAGGTGTATGGATGTGAAGGAGGCGAGAGAGGTGTGTCAGGATCGTGCCAAATGGAAGTCTGTAGTCTCTGCCTACCCCTCTGGGTGACAGGCGTGAGTGTTTATGTTTATTATGTTTATATAATTGTACTATGTGTCATAGATACAATACTTAAAATCATTAATAATTAAAATATTGATAATAGCAAAAACGCAAAAGGATCTAACACAAAATCTTTCTATACGTTTTCGGTTCTATACGTCTATATAGTAAAAACAGTTCCAGCAAATGTAGCAATCGTTAACAAGAAAAATTGCAATTATATTATTAGTAATGTTAGTAATTCAAGATCACCGAATACTTATCCAAATCTTAAACCGCAATATCTCAATATTATTCTATCAGTTTATTGGTTGGATCCTTTTTGTGCAACTACTTTCTTATTATTTGGCTGTATTTCTTATAGGATCACTGCCAAAGTACTGATTAAAACTGATGAACTCTCCTATTTCGATTAAAAACTAAAGTTAAATTACTCGCAGTGAAGGGTGACGTTAGAGAACCCTACATATACAAAATTTGACCTGCTCAAAGTTCAAAAACTTTACTAAATTAAGTGTGTATTGAAATAGTTATTATAATAGTAACGAATTTATGATAATAACCCCTGGGAATGAATTGATCGTCACCAAGCTATTTCTAATTTGTTTTGTGCTTTAATTGCGTAATATTCATGATTGTGAGCTGTTATTTAAAAAAAAGTTCCGATGGATTTCTTGCTGGTTTTTTTCAGGACAGAGGTTTTATTTTCCGAACCAGTGGTACATTAAACAAAAGAATGACTTTTAATGACTTCTTTCTTTTTCTTTTTCCTTTTCTTTCTTTTTTTTAAAGGTTAATATACTACTATATATACGCACTAGGACTTTCTCCTGTATCGCGGGGGCAGTTTACAAACATAAATTGCACAAGGACAAACATCCAGACCCGGAACAATTACTTGTAGACCATACAAAAATACTTGTTCCGTGCAGGATTCGAACCCGCGGCCCCCAGCGCAGCCACTCATTGCTAAGCCACTTCACCAAGGAGCCGTCCTGTCATGATTATTATTTATAATGTATGTTGAATATAAAATTTTCTGTTTATATTTTCATATCTTCACATCATTCCGTGGGCATCGCAAGAGGCGACATAGTAAAACGAAACAATTGTTAAGCAGCGGCCTATTCCTGATGATAATTTAAAATGTTAATCCAAGACCAAGCGTGGCAACTGTGGCAAACGTCCCCTCCATGAGGCATATATGGGGATATGGCTAACGCCTGTGTTCCACAGTGGAATTTTGATAGACTGTAATGAATTACATTATTTGCAAACACTTACTGCACTATCTTAAACTGCCGATGAGAAAAGGTAAAGGCACCAGTGGTGGCAGTTAGTCCCTGATAAAGTGCCTTAGTGTAAACGGTAAATTTTACGAATCTAGTGTACTTCTAATCAGGAGCGTTTATCGCAAATGATAAACACACTAATCACACAAAGACTCCTATTTTTGCCACTAAATATTAAGGTACTTGAGGGTAATGGTTATATGGTCAGCTTAAGCTTTGTCACCCTATAAAACCAAAACTTGGAGGAGGACAGAGACAAAAACACAAAGTCGTGTATTATAACTAATATATTAAGAAGAAAAAAACAAACAAGCTTCGGCAATGTTTATGAACACTTCGAAAAATCAAATTAAAAAAATCTAAAATCGACTAAAATATTTACTATAACGTCAACTGTCAAAATGGCGTCGATAAAGCAGCACCCTTTTGACCCTTTATTATTTGATTGACCGATGACGAGCTATCGTATCACAGACATTTATGCAAACAAGGCTGTAGTTTTTGAGTTATAAGAAAATGACCATATTAACGCGATGACTATATTACCCTCACGAATAATATTATAATTATATTATAATTATATTATTTATCATTCTTATGGATCCTGTTTCTCACCAATTTAATTTAACATTATCGCCAAAGTGTAAAAGAAAAAGTAAAGTTACAGCCTATATACGTCCCACTGCATGACACAGGCCTCCGCTCACTTCTGAGAGGGTTTTAGGGCAAGGAAGTGTCAAATGCGTGTTGGCGAACTTCACATGTCTTCGAAATAAACTTCACATGTCTTTTTTTCCTACTCCTCAGACATGCAGGTTTCCTCCTGATGTTTTCCTTCACCGCGGAGCACGTGGTAAATCAGCACTTAAAATTGCAATTAACAATTTCATTGGTGCCGGCGGGAATCGAACCCGGGTCGCCAAAATGTACTGCATCAATACTATTAATAGTACAAGTACTAATAGAGTACACTATGATGATAGACAAACCTTGTATTGAGACTACCTTTGCTAAATTCTTCTTATAAATTTGTTTACACTACTAATTCGTCGAATTTATTTTTCCCGTTTCCTTAAGCTTAAAAATTTCAATAACTATCAATCTTAAAAACAAACAAACACAAATGCACACAAACGTCCGTATGCGCACACATAAAGATAAAAAAAACCTAGTACATAATTGCCGCATTACTATGCCTTAAAGTTAACAATTCATCAAACAGCACACCGTAAGGAGACATGTACTGAATATTAACTATTTTAGCTGGCCCTGCTTCGGAACACGGAAACATTTATTGGCTATTGTTTTTATAAACGTTTACGTTCGTCGCGTTCCGAACGTTTCCACTATTAATTTCGGCCTTCCATTTATTACTTAGAGTGGGCATTCATATGAGCATGTTGTACTGAACAATTACGATCATAGCGAAAACTTCCATCACTTGAGAGGTACTTATTTTATTACCCGTGTTTAATAATAAAAAATCAAAATTTTTGAAGGTATCAAAAATTATAGGCACATTAACGTAAAAGGTGGACTTACATCAGTGAAAGTAGAGTGTTGGTAATAATCTCTATATCCCTATACGTTTTTTACGTGGTAGATCCACTGCGCAGCTATACTAATTGTAACACGAATGGGTCGGCTCTTCCGGTGCAGCACCACGCTCTCACAGAATACAAGCATAATTTTTTCGTGTGGTGAGTGTAGAGAAACGGAGATCTTTTTTTTTTACTGGAAACGAGGCATTCCATCTTAGACGAGTGACGACGCATTTGCATTTTGACTCTTAATCGAGGATAAATGTTCATGTCTATGGGTCGCAGGTTCCTACTTACTATCAGGTGGACTGTGTGCTCGTTTATCGCCCTTATTCTATAAAATAAACAGTTATTAATTTTAAGCAAAATTCAACACACGAAATAAATTGTATGAAAAAAATATATTAACTTCACTCAAACGACTCATGTCGTCCCTTGTATGTCGTAAGAGGCGACAGCGGAAACCAACCAGGAGATGATCAGCCGCGACTTCATTATAGCAACTATAAAATCAAAAACTGCCATTGCCAACGCGCCTGCCAAGTTTGGCAAATATGGCAAATATTCCTTTGATGAAGCAATCGATGAAGTAGTCTATTTTAGCAGTGGACCTTTATAGGCTGCTTTGGCTATTTGTGAACTTATTACAAATGTTAATATGCCTTTAATTTTCTGAGAAAAACTAAATAAAGGTTAAGTAAAGCAAAGATTAAGTTATTAAATAACAATGAAGAAAAACCGAAAATTGTAACGCTGAAAGTTATTTTTGCTTTACGTTACCGTTTATACAAACAACATATTGCCAGTTTAAATTAAACCTCTAAAGTATTCGCAATTTCAAAAATTCCGTTTAATTATTTATGTTAACAAAATTTATTGGTAAATAGTTTCCTTACCGTTTCACTTTCTGATCTTCATATGAACTACGGTAGAATCCGTGAAGATTATCGTTCAATATCCCTGTGTATGTGATATTCAAGTAATATTGCTTTCCTGCTATTAACGGCTCGTCCAAAATTAAAATTTGAAATTGCCGTGGAATATCTTCAGTTCTTTCTACAATCTTAACTTCTCCGCCATCTTCTTTTTTTATTAGTTTAATACTGTGATAAGTAAGTTCTACACCATGAAAGGTAATTTGTTTGGTTTCATTTTTAACTGTCAAAATAATACTTATCTCTCCATCAAAAGTAAAGTTACCTTCATAGATGTATGGAGTAAGTTTGAGGTAGTATCTATCTGGTTTTACGTATTTTGGTAGACGTACATCCGTCACTTTCGGTGTTTCATCTACTGTCGTAGTTTCAATGAGAGACGTAGTAGTTTCTACTGCTATAATACTTTTATTATTGTCTGTTGCTAATGGTATAACTAATAGTTTGGGTTGTTCACAGCGAGTTAGTTCATATTTCGTTACGTTAGCTAATTGATCTGTCCTTGGACAGGCCGCAAAATTGTACACTATAAAGGCGGTGGCTACTAAAGCTAAAGCGAAAATTATAAGGATGACGAAGATGAGGCTTTTGGACAAGTAAACGCCTCGATTGGTTTTCGTGGAGAAGTCGCAGGTAGGTGGATTACCATCCATGATGGTGAGAGGTTCACGGGCTTGTGTCATCACATCATTATATTATCTGTAAAAAAAGAAAGAGAAAATATAGAATAGGAAGTATTTAATAAACCCAATAAAATTATACTCTAATTATTTACACAAAATATTTTTAAAAAAACTATAGTAAAGAAGAACTAAAACTAAAAATTTAAATTGTCATATAGTTCTAATCCCCGTGGTATCGTGCCAAGAACGCTGTCTGCGTTTCCTCGCTAAATAGCTATACTTATCTGAATGAGGAGTTATTTTAATGACATTTAAAATTTTAAGAAGCTGGTTCGGCAGATATTGCTTCACTCTGTTTTCTCTATCAATTTTTTATCGTTACAGCCTATTAAATGACCACTACTTAACATATGCCTTACCATAGATTGCCTCTTAGCAGGGATATTTATTATAGATACCACGCTTGGCAGGCGGGTTGGCAATTTTGCCTTTTTTTTTGTTTTTAATTGTTATTATTATATTTATATTATTGCCTAACACCAGGTTTGTTTTCCTTCGTAATCTCTCACGACACCCACGGGGATATTAGGGGTAGTAAATATTCTTAACACCACCACTACAAGGTCACTTAAAGTCAAGCGGCGGCAACTATTGGGTCCAGATTTTGTGATTATCTTTTTTTGATACAAAACCATGATATAATAACGCGTTGATGAGTCATTTTTCTCCATTGATATATAATTTGTTAAAAGCTCATCTATAGCGCCGCCCATCGGTTCCTAGCATAGATATAAACTATCGTCTCGGGAAAAAAACATATAACATTCTTTGTATATATGATTTCAATAGTACAATTCGTTCAGAAGTTACATGCCCACAGAACATATGCATCATATTTACTATACATGCGACTTAAATAAAGATAAATAGAAACGCAATAGCAATAACTGCTCATAATATATCTTTTATATAAATGTTAAAACGAAATCTTCTACGTAGAAATTCGTTGACGATTAGGTATTCGGAACGTTCTAATTATTTTAATTTGTTAATTCTTACTGAACAGAGTCAAGCGTTTATATCCCTACATTTACTGCACACGCACGTACGCTGAAGGCCTTTAATAAATCTCTCTTTACGACCTATCTTTTCTAACCGAGACGTTGATCTCTCCGATTTATAACGTTGACGAATGTTTATCCCTTATCCTACGCTATTATACCGGCAATCATATTACGCACGACTATGAATATCATAGGCCCGTTACTCGGCAAATGATTACGTTGTATTCAAGTAGCCTTTTTTTCTGTCCCCGAGTCTTAGAACTACAAGAACCGCTGAATCTAGAAGCCTGTTATTGAGTTGTTTAATTTTTTTATACAATAAAGGTGACAAACGAGCACACAGTCCACCTGATGGTAAATTGATGCTGTGGCCTATAGACATCTACTAAATGTAGATCTTCGATTAGGAGTCAAAACGCAGATGCGTTGTCACCCCTGAATACTAAGATGGAATACCTTGTATCCAGTAAAAAAGGGTCTCCGGATCTCTATACTCACCATACAAAACACAGCGGTATTAAGCTGCTATTTTACGCTGGTATTCTGTGAGAGCGTGGTCCTTCCCGATCGAACCGACCCATTCGTTCTACAACTATAATATAGCTGCAGCGTGGCTCTATCACGTATTAAATACTAGGAAAACATTTTACTGCTTAGGAATATTCTATCTTACCATTATACTACCATGGAGTGTTAACCACGTAGGGGCGGTGTAAGAATATCCACAATCCCATAGCTTCCCGAGGGTGTCGTAAGATGCGACAAAGGGAAATTGAAACATGAAAAGAGCAGCAGCATCTTCCTGATAACAACTTAAAATAATAAAAAAACTGCGGTCACCAACCCGCTTGCCGAGCGTGGCAACTATGGCAAAATCCCTCCTTGTGGTAATTTATTAGGGAGGCCTATGTTGGAAACTTTAATATATGCTTTAATGGATGAATGGAGTTGATGGAGTACTCCATTTTAGTCATCACGGATGACAACGCATTGGCATTTTCATTCGAGGATGCTGTCATATGCGCTATTATTAAATCTTTAATCAGCGACGGGAAATACTGTCTAAATGCAAGATATCTCGTACTACGATCCCCGTCCTTCTATGAAGCATGGCGATAGCGGTGTATACACGGACAAAAATAAGCTCATAGTTTCAGTGGTAGTAGTCATAATATATTTCATTGCAAACGTAAAGTATCTCCGTTTACGACTGACTTATAAAAGATCGAAAATGGACGGTATGTTACTTTTCTAGTACTTATTCTAGCCGCTAATTATGATTTCAAGTTATAGCTATTGGGATAACTACCGTAACTAGCTGAATAGTCAAAATGAGAGTAGATATGACGCATATATCATTGGCTGCGTTTGGCAGAAAAAATCGCTAGCAAGCGCTTGTAAGCAAAATGGCGATCGTAAGCGGTAAGCGCTGTCAAATCGTAAGTAGCTATTTTCCTCTAGGACACGAAGTTATTTTTAACCGGGGAACCTTTACAAACATGTATTTAAATTAGGTTAATTTAAATATATGTTTGTAAAGTATTCATATTAAAAATTACCAATCATGAATTTTTAATAACATGTAGGTATAATATGTTTATTCATGTCATTATATTACTTAAAACTAATATTGCACAAAACAACTTATAAACTCTACTTCAAAACAAACAAATTAAATAAGCAAAATGGCGGATTGTGTCAGCGCTACTGAAGTTAGCAAACGTGTCCTGGCCGAAAACTGTTTAGTTTCGCCATTTTGCTTACAAGAGCTTTCTAGCGCTTTTTTCTGCCAAACGCACCCATTATTAATATAAACTATATTCTCAATATATGTACATTCATATAGATAACTAGCTCATTGGATCATTAAGTTGAAGTGGCAATAGGCTAGCCATATAACTCAAAGAACCAACAAGCGATGAAGCGATGAAGAACGGTACTCGAGTGTCTACTTTGCACCGGTAAGTGAAGTACAAACATGGCCCAGTAAAACATGCAAGAAGTCGATTGATTCAGGTGGCTCAGGACCTTGCTTTATGGTACTTCTTACGGGAAGCCTATGTTCAGCAGTGGACTTGCGAAAAGCTGTAATGATAATGATGATAATATACACATCTCTATATATAAAAAAATCAATTGCTATCTGCTAGTCTCCCTGAAACTCAAAAACAGCTCGACCGATTGTGATAAAATTTTTTGAACAGATGAGAGAGAGAACTCTATACGGTTTACGAGTATATTCACACTTGGACGCGGTAGGTGGCTCTGTAGAAACCCAGAAATCACGCGTGAGTAGCCGGGGGACGTCGCTAATTAGTTATGAAAACTATCGTGATTTTAATTAGTTTTTAATAATAATAGTTTTAGTTATTTCAAACACGGTGCCTTCTTCTTATTACTATCAAAACTTTAAAACAGCACTGGTCATATTATAGTCCCACAAGCATGCACGCTAACACAGAAGCACTCACTTAACACATTCTCATATTTTCTTTATGATTATGAAGCATAAAAAGGCCACACGGTAAAACAGTGTGGTGTCTTCTAAATATTTTATCAACGATAATAAAATAAAGTAGCGCTTAAAATTTGTTATAGTTACTTGAAAAGAACTCTAATCATAAAAGCTACTTTTGCTATTGAAGTTTTTATCTGTAGGTATAATAAAAATGCTTCCTCAGATTTATCGTGATTTTGCTTCATATCAACTACAACTATTGTTGAAAATATTTACCTGTGTAAAAATATAAATTTTTCGAGGATTTTTTTACAGAGTTAAGGTGACAAACGACCACACGGTTTACCTGATAGTAAGTGAAGCAGCGGCTCATAGATATCTTACATTTCTCCTCGATTAAGAATCAAAATGCAGATGCTTTGTCACCCCTAAGGATAAAGACGGAATGCCTCGTTTCCAGCAAAAAGTCTCCGGTTCTCTACACTCACCAAACAAAACACAGCAGCGTTAAGCTGCTGTTTATGCTGGTATTTTGTGAGAGCGTGGTTCGAGCCAACGCATTCGTGCTATAACCATAATAAAGATGCTGCGGAGTTCTACCACATATAATTATTCTGAGTTTTGAAACACATTTTTGATCCGACTTCTCTAGTGAGTGTATTTTACTGCATAAAACAATTTCAGTTCAAATTCAAATTAATCTTGTTTATTGCAGTACAATTTTGATAGGTATACATGTTACGCCCTGTAAGGCCATAGCAATACTAGACGGCTAGCTATTTTCGTATTATCTAATTTTTAAACATAAATTATAAAATATCATATCATCAGCATTCAATATTATTTTATATAAATTAATTTAATTTGAAATACAATGTACCTAGTCGAAGTATTCTTACTTTGTCGTTATTTATCGTCAAAAAATTCATTAAAATTATAATAACGTTTAATTGATAAGAATTTTTTCCGGCATTGGAAATGAAATGTAGGTTTGAATACTATGAAACTGAAGGACCCTTGAGCTGTCTTTGACATTAAATCTATGTTTCTACATATTTATCGTAGAAATCATATATTACACTTTTTGGTTATAAAGGTGGTAAATTTCATTTTCTAACTAGGAATACATCTAGGTACTTAAACTTCTTACATGTTTCTGCTCCCAAACAGCATTCCGTTCACTGCTGTGTTCCAGTAAAGAGTATAGGGAGCAGAGACCAGGTATAATTACAGGCATTGAGGTATTCCATCTGGAACCTAAGAGATGAAAAAGCATTTTGCAGCTTTCTTTGTTTGATGTTGGTTGCAGATATGCGTGGGTGCCACCGATCTACCATCACATACTGTAACTTTGCTTGTCGCTTTAATTTTGTAATAGTATCAAGCAAAGCTATTAGTTTATATTACAGCTTACTGGAAAAACTTTTAATAGAAACCATATATTTTTATTAAATAATGCATCTTTATAAAAAGAGTTTTATATTACAGATAATGTGTAATACAATACAATCACAATGAACCCTTTCAACACTGACAACATAATATCACATAAGC